TTAATTACTTCCAACCGTCAATCTCCTAAGTAATCATGCACCCCCAAAGGATGACTTTCCATAAAAATCTCTTAACTTTTCCTTTTTTTCGAATTTCAAAATTCATACCCAACTCCCTGTTAACACACCTTGGACTCTTGGAACACTCAAGATAATCATTAAAAAGAAACAAACCCTATAACACGTGGCTGTTCCCTCGGCTTCCTCTACAAACAAACCCTTCCATCGATAATCCCGTATCTCAAAGGAAATCCTATCCATTTACGGCTAAAAGCTGTCAAACTTCACAATCCTAGTTATTACTTTGAATTTTGAAATCCTTCAACTACTCACCCTCAAAAGGCGTATCTTAGTCCTTAATGCTTCTCTTGCTGTTGTTATATATATTTTCTCCATCCTTATCGTTTGCCAACAACTTTCCTTCTATCTCCTGAAACCCTAAAGGAAATCTTCACTTATGAAAAATTACAGACCATGGCCCCTAAGAAACCTTCCAAGCCAACTACTAACTCATCCCTGCCAGCTCCTTCTATTCAAACTAAAGTCAAGACCCAAAGCCATAGTCACCAAGTTCAAGTACTCTTGAAGTCTTTAAACCCTACTAGACTTCATCTTGAACCTCTGATTCACTTCAAAGATTCCTCAGTTGGATTGGGTCCAACCTTTACTAGCGTAGCCCCTCTGAATTAGCCAAATATTATCCTTTCGGTAAGTCCCCTCTCCCCTTTGATTCAGAGTTCCCTCTTATTTCAAAGAAAGGGAAAAAAGTGAAGCCCTCATTCAGCGTAAGAAACTGGCCAACATATCGTTCATCCTGGTCTTCATAGGTGAATCGATTTTCCAAGGACGGAAAAATCTCTTCACAATGGAAGAAACAGGGCATCTATAACATTATCCAAATCAGTAAGTCCTCCATTACACTTGATCCGAACCTCCTTTTTTCAGCTCTTTTCTTTTGGTCTTCAACCACCAATTCCCTACATCTCAAATATGGAATGATGTCCCCCACTTTTGAGAGATATTTGTTGCATTACAAGTCTTAAACCCCATGGAGATGATGTAAGCGCCACCCTCTTTATTGAACAATTCCTTTTTCCTACCAAAACCACTGGAAATAAGAAATTCATCTCCTCCCATCTCCCTTTTATTAAACACTGTAAGAAAACCGGCCCAGTTCAAGAAGATGAGCACATTGCTTTCCTGATTTGTTGGCTTTCTGGCCATTTGCTGTGTGTTCCATCTGGCCAAGTGACAAAAGACTTTGTTCAAGTAGCGGTTTCCCTAGCCAGAAATGGAGATTTGGCATTAGCTCCCCTTGTGCTTTCCCACTTATACAGAGGCCTTCATAACCTTCTTACTTCAAAGTTTTCAAGGTTCCAAGGCCCCTTCTGGTTATTCCAGATATGGCTTAAAGTGTACTTCCAAAATAGAACTTCACCCCTAATCACTCCAACTGGAAAATCCCTTCTGTGCCATTCCTTAGCAACAGCAGATCCTTCTCCTTTCAGCTTTGCTGAGAACTTCGAGTATTTCTACAATCAATGTGAGACTGGTAACGATGAGTTCTTTGATCCATTCACCGCCATTGGTCACATGCCATCATGGTTGGTTCCATCTCCTGGAGTGTCTACCAAAAAACATTCTGAAGATTAGAAAAATATTTGGGCCAGTTTTCTTCTTGCTCGTGACCTTCATTATAGCACTGCCCAACCTAATCTAAAGAATTGCTTCTGTGGTGTTGAGTTCTATAATCCAGCCCAGCTGGCAAGGAAAATGGGTTTTTCCCAGATGATTCCTTTGCCGCCTTACAAATCTTATAACAGATTCTTTGACCAACGTGTTTGTCTCACAGATGCTGAACAATTCGCAACAATTGATCAAGCTTAGGCAGGAGAAAGAGCTGTTTTTAACTTCCAAGGCCATACCAGCAAGCCTCAGTCCACCAATGAATTCAATGTATGGTGGTCAACTTACATTTCTTCCACCCGGGCAAAGAATCATAAAACTGTCTGTGATTCCATACTAGCTTCTTTCAAGCCTTCATCTCCAGGTATAACTGTATTCACTGTAAACTCCATTTTCCATCTTTCTTTATGAAATCCATCCATCTTCCATATACTGAGACTTGGTTAATTTTCAGATGGAGAAGAGGAAGTACTCGAAGAAAGTAAGGAGGATGAAGGTGGTGAAAAAGCTACTACAGTGACTGGCAAGATTGAAGGTATAGCCGAAAGTGGTGACGTAAGTATTGAAAGTCTTTCCTCAAGCGATGACGAAGAGGAAGAAGAAGAAGTTGAAGAAAAAATACAGGAAGAAGAAGAAAATACTTTGTACAAAGCAAAAGGAAAAGGAAAGACTCCTCAGGTATTTTAATGCGAATGTACTTAGTTTTCCTAGATTCTTGCCTTACTTACATTTCCTCTTGCAGGGACTAGCTATTGTCAAAAAAGAATTTCAACCCCAATTCTCCTCTTCCGATGAAGATTCCTCTAATGAAGAAGTTGGTATTTCCAAGGGTCAAACCGCTACTCAACATTCTAGCAAAGCCCTTAAAATGTGCAGCCCTTCTGGAAAGATTGTTGGAAAAGGAAAGAGAAAAATCATAACTGATCTAGAAAAAACAGAAGAATTCCAACAGCCTAGAGACTCTCCAAAGTACAAAAAACCCAAACCAAACAAAGAAATTGTTTTGGTAAGTCTCTATTCCCACTTCTTTCCAACTTTGTTGCTAAAAAATGTTTGCAAATTTCCTCCAACTTTAACTAACAGGGCTCTTCCATGGGACACAACTTCATGAATATCCATTTGGACCAACAAATTGCCCAAGGAGAGGATTTAGCCCTTCAAGCTTCAATTATGGAAAGTTTGACCAACAAAAAAGAAGAAAGTCTGCCCATTCTAACTTCTACGATTGGAGTATCTATCACTTCCAGAACTGGTGGAACTTCTGCAGGCCAAGTTCCTTCCATTCCAGAGGCAAACTTCCATACTTTTAAACTTCGCCTCTTTTCTTTCTTTCTATCTAATACAAAGTGGCCCTCATTTCAAGCCACTCCTTTTATGTCTACCTCAACTTCCTTTATGGTGCAAAGAAGAGCTCTTCCGGCTTTGGCCGATCTTTATAAAGTGATCAAGGCCACCAAATCTTCCAGTACTTCCACCTCAAGCGCCAGTGTTCTCATGCTTCCAGGAACCTCAGATGATGCTATAACTGCTGCCAAAGGAAAATTATTGTCTTACCTTGCCCATGATGTAGAAGATGTGTTATCTTTTCACCAAAGTTTGGCCAACACTATAGTGACCCTCAAGAAACACCTTGAATTTCCGGAATCTATCCAAATTTCTTTAACCAAACTACAACACCAACTCCAATTCATCATTACCCATGTAAACTCCAGTACTTTCGCAATTTCTGAATGTGATAAGGAAGCTAAGCTCAAAGATAAAGCTCTTGAAGATTTCCAAATCTCATTAGAACCCTACCCAGAAATCAAAGAACCAGCTGAGAAGCTTATGGCCAAGAAAGAAAGCTTGAATAAAGAACTGGCCAAGATTCAAAGAGAGTTAGAATAAGTGGAACGTGAAGAATTTGAGTTGGACCAAATAGCTAGTGCCCTTGTAAATGCATCTGAACCTTTAAGGAAGGAATGGGAAAAACGGGTTGATGAATTTCCCAAATTTGAAGAAGCTAAGGTTAGAACATTGGCCACTCTTCATGAAACAAGGAAAATTTGGATGGAACTTGAAGGTGCTCTTGCCTCTATTTGATCCTAGATGGTTTTTTTTCTATATGGTTGTTTTGAAAATTATGGTGTAATGGATAGTGGCAGAAAATAAATAGTAGATACTTTTCAGAATCACTTGTATGGCCAACTCTAGGTTTAAGTGGCCATTTTTGGGCTTTTGTAAAAAAATCAAGTATCTAATGGAATGATGTTTTATTTCTCAATCCATCGCATGTGCCTCTTTCACCATTTATATGAAAAGAAATGTCTAAGTTACTGAAACTGGAAGATTCCTTCACATATATTAACAATAAGGTATAGCCATAAAATGGCTTTCCACAACAAAGGAATTTAGAGAAATAAAATAAATTGCCATAATGGAAATGCATGTATATACAAGCAAGACAAACGATTTCCAGTTTAAACGAAACCTGGACCATATAGTGTAGCCGCTTTCGTACTGAAGTCTTTGGAAATTAGCTGATATTGGAAATACAACTAAGTCTACTTCATAACTTTAGCCAATGTACTTGTCCAAGTACTTAGCCACTTCTTGGAATAAATCTTTCCTTCGTTTTATCTTGACTACTAGAATGGCCAAAGAATGGCCAATATGCCTCCTTTCCAACTTTCTTGTTTAACTTGGAAAGGACGTTACCAGCCACATTATATGACTGGTAGAATGACTGTAGCTTTCCAGTCTTCATAGATAGAAAGGTGATACTCTTTCAAGTATACACCATTCACTGGGTGTTTATGGGACCCTCCATCTATATCCATCAATCTATAAGCCCCTTTCCCAAGGACTTTTTCCACCAAGAAAGGACCATCCCAGTTAGGTGTCCATTTTCCATATTCCAAGGTTTTAACCCCAGGTGGAAATTTGACTTGCCATACCAAGTCCCCTTCAATAAATGTCTTTGCCCTAACCTTCTTGTTATATGCCCGCATGACTTTCTTCTTTTGAGCAATAATATGGTCTAAGGCATTAACACGGACTTCATCAAGGTCTTCCAATTCCACCAACATGGCTTGGTTGTACTCTACTGGAGTTAGCTTATTTTAGAAAGCCACCCTTGCAGACCTAATGGTCATTTCCATTGGAAGAATGGCATCATGTCCATATGTAAACATATATGGTGTGACACCCGTACTTGACCTTTTTGAATTCCTGTAAGCCCAAAAAGCCTCAGAAAGTAGGTGATGCCACTCCCTTGGATGATTCTCAATCATCTTTTCAAGGATGTTAAGAATCACTTTGTTGGAAGCTTCTGCCTATCTATTTGCTTGGGCAAAATATGGAGTAGAACTGATTACTTGAACGCCACATTCAGCACAATAGTCAATAACCTCACTTCCAATGAAGGAAAGGCTTCTATCTGTGGTGAGAGTCTCTGGAATCCCTAATCTGTGTATAATGTGCTTCTTGATGAAACTAATGATTGTTGGTTGCTCATAAGTCTTTAATGGAATGGCCTCCACCCGCTTAGTGAAATAATCTGTTGCAACTACCATATAAGTGTGACCATCTGCAGATGATAGCCTTAACTTTCCAATGAAGTCTAAAGCCCACCCTCTGAATGGACATATTTTTACTATTGGCTGCATGTTTATAGCTGGAACTCTCTGGATCGGGCCATGTTCTTGACATGCAATGCAGGTTTTTGCAAACTCTATGCAGTCTTTTAATATACCTTTCCAATAATAACCATACCTTCTAAGAAGCCACCTCATCTTGATTCCAGCTTGGTGTGCTCCGCATATTCCAAGGTGCGATTCTGTCATTACTCTCATGGATTCATCCCTACCACGGCATCTGAGCAAAAGTCCATCTTCTTTACTCTTCTTGTAGAGATCTCCATTAATCAGAATATAATGAGGTGTCAAAAGCTGAATTCGCTTGTCCACGTTGGTACTAGGCTTCTGTAAAAAATGGATGATTGGTGTTCTCCAATCTTCCAAGTCTAAGCCATCTATATCAACATTGAAAATCTCCCATGCTTTCTTGGCAGGCTTGATCCTTTCTGACTCATCAGCTTGGAAACAACCTGTCATCTCATACCGTGACTCTATAGAAGGAATAATCCTTCTTTTGATTGTGATCAAAGTTTCTTCTATACCCGGTCGGACTTTCACTCTGGAAACTAGCTGTACTAAATCATCAGCCTCCGTATTCAAATGTCTTGGCCAATATTTGAGTTGGAAGTCATCAAACTGGCAAAGTAATTCCAAAGCCAAAGAATGGAAAGGCCTCAAATGCCAATTAAGACACCTATATTCTTCAGAAAGTTGGCTGAGTATCAAATTTGAATCTCCAATAATCTGGACCTTCTCCACTTTTAGCTCTAATAGGATTTCTAGCCCAATAATTAGCGCCTCATACTCAGCTTGGTTATTTGTACACTTGAAATCCAATAAGAAAGAAAATGTGGTTTTTCTCCCCTTTGGTGAAATGATGACTATTCCAGCTCCTCCTCCATCATAAGTGCTTGATCCATTAAACATGAGATTCCAAGTGTATAATCAAGGTAGAGATTATCCACCTCATCACATATTTCTGAATCAATCTTGGTGGAAGGATGGTCTGCTAGAAATTCTGCCACCGCCCTTCCTTTGACTGCCTTTAGTGGAATATACTTGAAGGAAAACTCCATTAAGGCCAATGACCACTTTCCAATACGTCCAGTGATCAAAGGCCTTGAAAGCATATACTTAATCAAATCTGTTTGAGAAATGTATAGGTTCTTAACTTCATAGCCGCATAGTATAAGGAAAGGCACAACTTTTCAATGGAAGTGTACCTCCATTCCACTAAGTGAGCACCCTACTTAGATAATAGATGGCTTGTTCCTTTCCCACTCATTGTTTTGGGCTAAAAGAGTTCCAATGGATTCGTCAGTGGCCAATAAGTATAATCTTAAAGGCCGCTTCTTGATTGGAGGCATCATCACTTGAGGGTTGGCCAGGTAGCTTTTTAGACCTTCAAAGGCTTGCTGGTGCTGTTCTGTCCACTTGAACTCCTCAGCACCTTTCAATTTCGACAATGGGGAGAAAGCATGAGTCTTTCCAGCATGGTTGGCAATGAATCTCCTTAAATATCCAACCTGGCCAAGAAACCTTTGTAGTTATTTCTTAGTGGCCGGTGGCTTTGCTTCAATAATTGCCTTTGCTTTATTTTGGTCTACTTCAATACCTCTTTGGTGGACTAGAAAACCAAGGAAATTTCCAGCTGAAACCCCAAAGGCACACTTCAAATGATTCATCTTCAACTTGTGCTGCCTCATTCTCTCAAAAGCCATCTTTAAATTATGGAGATATTAAGCCTTGGCCGAGGATTTGATGACTACATCATTAATGTAGACTTCTAAGAAATGGCCAATCATGTCATAGAAAATGGCATTCATGGCCCTTTGATATGTTGCTCCAGCATTCTTCAATCCAAATGGCATGACTACCCATTCAAAAGTTCCAATGGATCCTGGACATCTGAAAGCCGTCTTGGCGATGGCTTCTTCCTCAATATAAATTTGGTTGTATCTGGAATGCCCATCCATGAATGAAAGAATTTCATTCTTGGCAGTAGAGTCTACCAATTGGTCAACAACAGGCATGGGGTATTCATCTTTTGGAGTTGCAAGATTGATATTCTGAAAATCCACACATACCCTGAGCTTACAATTTTTCTTAATAATTGGAACTATATTGGAAATCCAGTCAACATACCTGGCGATTCTTATAAAACCAGCCTTATGTAGCCTTTCTATCTCTTCTTTGACCTTTAGAACAACTTCTTGGGACATTCTTCTTGGAGTCTGCTTGAAAGGTTTGAAACCTTCCTCAATTGGCAACTTATGCTCTACCAGCTCTCTGGAAAGTCCTGGTATTTCCTCATATGTCCATGCAAAATAATCTTTGTATTCTTCAAGTAAGGAAATCAATTCTTCTCTAAAGGTCGGTTCCAAAAGCTTACTGATGTAGGTAGGCCGAGGGTCCTGTTCTGTTCCAAGATTAACTTCCAAAAGTGGATCTTGTACTTCGGCCTTGAGATCGTCTAACTTCGTTGGCACCGCCTTCAAGTCTGTCAGCTGGATAGCATCTAACTTGTCTTCAGTATCTTCCATAATCTCCAAAACATTGGTTGAAAATAAAGTACCAGCAATAGTAGCCCTTTCCAATCGTAGTTTGGCTAGATATGCTTTCAACCTGGCAAGGCAGCAGTTAACTGCCTGGCCAAGTATTCTATTTTCTTTAGGTTTCTCTTCCATAAAAACTTTTATTTGAAATGTAGTGCTGAACACCGGCCTTAGGTAGAATTGTTGGCCTTGGTGTTTCTTGGAAAAGCTCCCTTACATCTTCTTCCGTAAGAGTTCTTCTCATGGTGGCCTTCCTTGGACGGCCCTTGCTATCATTTCCAATAAACCTGATTGGAACGAATTCTTCACTATACAACTCAGCATCTGCATGGTAAACCCTTGCCATAAATGGCCGGCTATCGGCTTCCACCACTTTTACCTCATCTCCATCCCAAAATATTAGCATTTGATGGAGCGAAGATGGAATGCAAAAATTTGGTTGAATCCATTCGCGGCCTAAAAGCAAATTATAGGCCGTTGTAGACTCAATAACAAAGAAGGCTGTGATGGAAGTTCTATCTCCCACCGTTAATTCCAATGGTAGGATTCCTTGCGTCTTCACTATTCCTCCCATGAATCCACTAATGGATACATCAGTTGGAATGATATCTTCAGGAGACTTTCCAAGCATGCGCATAACATTGACTGGAATAACATTCAATACTGAACCATTGTCCACCAGAACTCTTGCCAAGGGCCTTCCTTCCACTAGCACCTTGATATATAAAGGTTTGAGCTGCTGAGTCATACCATACAGTGGCTTTTCCAACACAATTTTCTTTAGCCTCGTGGGGCTGTTCTCTTCAATCACAACCCCCTTTAATTTCTGGAGATGCTCAGTTTCATCTTCAAAGACCTCTTCTATATGAATACCATTATTTGGTTCTATAATGGTTAGCCCATAACTAGGTTGTCCTAGGCTTTCCATGGGAGGACTTGTATCTACCACATCTCCTTCCATTGAATTAGGCTGATTTGGCTGTGGCTCAAAAAATAAGGGAAGAACCACTACCATATTGCAAGTAAATTCACCTGGAAGGCTCCCAAAACAGATTTTCTTGCTGCTGCTGGAACTGTTGGGAATTTCCAAATCTGTTTTATCTTTTGTAGGAGGATTGTCTGTAGTCAAGGAATTTCCAACCTCTTAAACCAAATCCAATAAATCATTAGGATCTCTGACCCCTCCTTTAGCTGGAAGTTCAGACAAGTCTGATAGCTTAGTAGTCTTCTTTGACCAATTGGCCCAGCCATGGTCTTTCTCCCATAACCTTCTTCTATCAGCCCTCTTCCTTTGCTGCCTTCGCTTTTGTGTGCGAGTCATATAAGAGCCTTCATGAATGGGAAACTTGGGATAATTAAGCCTTCTCCATCCCTCATCTTGCAAGGTCGGAGGTCTAACCATTCTTGGTTGGGAATGCTCACTCTCCCTTCTAACCCATACCTCCGAGGCCATTTTTGGCCTGGAATGCCTGTCACCTTTGTCTTGCCATCTACTACTTTCAAACTTTCTACTAGGACGAGACCCTGGCTGATAGGAAATTCTATTCCTTTCCAAACTTCTTGGAAGATTTCAGATTTCCTCTCTGTTGCCTTTTTTCTAGATGAACCCGGCTTTCCTTCTCTGGAATAGTTACAGTAACTGTGTTTTCCACCTTTTGGAAAGTCAGTCGATCATGGACCTTCCTTTTTTGGCCTCGATCATCATTGGACAACTTCTCCTTTGGAATATCTCTATGACAGCCATCATTTTGAATTTTACATTTGGGGCAACAACCTTGCTGGATTAAGCTAATTGAGCCTCACGGAGTTATTTTTTCAACTTGGCCACCGTTTTCTCCAAGGATACTGCAGCTTCAAGACTTTCAAGTTTTCCACTTGCTCTTGAATCTGCATGTCCACCTTTTTCTTAGGGTGTTCCGTAGCAAGAAAAGTAACGTTTGTGGCAACAACCTTGGGGAAAGGATTTTCATCAACACCTATGACTTCTATTTTTTTTGAAAACTTCAACCGGCCATCTTCAATCGCCTTTTGCACTATATTACAGAAAATCACACAATTATTAGTGGAATGCCTCCATGAATTGTGAAATTTGCAATACTCTTTCTCAGCCATTTCTGAGGCCGATGGCATCTTGTGGCCTGTTGTGAAAATCAGTTGCTTGTCAGCCATGAGCAAATCAAAAATTTGCTCGGCTTTAGAGATGTCAAAAGAATAACTCTTGGAAAGGTCTTCTCCCTTCCACTTGGAACCAGAAGCGGCCTGCAAGTTAGCCGTGGCTAACTTTGATTTAGTCAAGGCCTCACAAGTATAGGCCTTCTTTATGTTAAGCTCGGCTACATTTACTTTAAACTCTCCTTCAGTTTCAGTGGTACACACCTCATAATTAGGATCACGATAGTAAGTGCCCTTGGAAGAGCTCTTCCGATCTTACTCCTCACGAAGGAGCTCTTCATACTTAGCTACTCTACCAGCCAAGTCAAACAAGTCATGGAATTGTACACCTTCAAACTTCTTGCGAAGTTCAAATTCTAAGCCGTTCACAGCCATCTTCACATATTATCTGGTGGCAAAGACAAATTACATTTGAACTTGGCCCACCTAAATCTGGAAAGGAAACTCATCACAGACTCTCCAGGTAGTTGATGAAGTCTGGAAAGTCTTCCATGGACACTTCAAGCTCAGCTCTATAGAACTAAGTATGGAATAAATCCTCAAATTGCTGCCAACTTTGAATAAAGTTGGCTGGCAATTTGGAATACCACCTGAAAGCATACCCAGTCAGTGTATTGGGAAATAAGTGTACCTTCAACCATGGATTGGCTGCTGCTTCTCCACACTGAACAGTGAACCGACTGATATATTCTAAAGTAGACTGTTCGCCCTCACCATTGAACGTTGCAAACTCTGGAATTCTAAAATTCCTTGGAAATTCAACTTCATCAATGAACTCCAGATAGGGCTTTCTGTAAGTTGGCCTCCACCCCTTCGAGTTAGGCCAAATTCCTGCTGAAGGAATTCTATAAATTGGCCTCTGTCAAGCGCCATAGGTTGTGGAGGGTTGTTATCTAACCAACCTTGAGGTTGATTGGCCACTTGATGCCCCCCACCTGCCATAAGCAAGGGGTTGGCATCTGCATAACTGTTTCTGCCACGGTTCCTTCCTCTTTGGTCAAGAAGTGGCTCCCTTGGAAAAGGTTGCACCCCAACCGTCATTAAAATGACCATAGGTGGTGGCCTTGCTGGAACAGGTGCGGCTGGCTGAATGTTCACAGGTGGAACATTCTGTTGTGCTTGAGGGATATGGCATGGCCATGGTTGGCCAGGCTGATCATGCCAAGTCTACTGTGGAAATGCCACAGTTGGAGGATTCTGAACTTGCTGAATGGTTGACATGGGTGCAGTTTGTGGAATAGTCATCTGTACCACTGGAGCAGTCATAGGTGCAGTTGGAATGTAAGTCTGTGCCATTGGAAGGGATTGTACCTGCTGCTGAGTTGGAGGGAAAGGCCCTACATGTTGCTGAGAGGAACTTCCTTCAACAAATGTGGCCGGCCTACTAGCTTGGAAGGCCGACTGTTGAGACCCTTCAGAGTTGCTTGTCCGAGGGGCCAAAATTTGAGACAAACCTCCATAAAACCTTTCCAACATAGACTCGAACCTTTGAGAAATTCGGTCCACCATCTCTTCTAATTTTCGCTCATTAGCAAGAGTGGCTTTGTATGGTCTTGACTAGCCTTAAATTGGTCTTGCGCAACTCTGGCTAAGTCTTGGCCGACTCTAGCTTGGTCTTGCGCAAACCTATCTTGTTGCATTGCCATTATGCGGATGTTGTCCATGATGGGTCCATTTGCCATTGTTTGAGCAAATTTTTCCACCATATCATTTTCATCAGGTGCGAATCGTGAACTTTCCACTGGAAGTTCACTGACTTGCATCTCTTCTAGTTCGGCAGGGTCTTGGACAAAACTTGCCTTGCATTCTTCCACCGGCCATTGAACAATCTGTCTAGATGTCTCGCCGGGCGTGCCAATATGTTCGGCTCGCGAAAAAGTGCTAGTTCCGCTTTCCAGGTAAATGGAAAGTAGGAGTGGATGTCGGGCGTGCCAGGAACTGCTGTCGTTCCAGAATGGATATCCGAACAACTATCCAGTAGAAAATTGTAGGGATGTCGTTCCAAAGTGGATATCCGAACAACTATCTAGTAGGAAATTGCAAGGATCAGACGATTGAATGAAGGACTGGAATTACCACCTTTAAGGGTTCTTTTTGCCTTGGAAAAGGACTTTTGGACTGAACTATGGCTAGTGGAGGAAAGCTGTATTGAAAGTGCAGGACTTCAAAGTAAAGTGCTGGAAAGTAGGAATAATAAGTGCAAGACTTAAATTAAACATATTGAAATTGCATTACATGAATGTAAAGATACATAAATGTAAAGAAATTGAAGTGATGTTGGTTGTGTGTGTTGAACAGGGTTTGCAAACTAGTTCTAAGTGCTCTATTTATAGGACTTTCCATGTATGCAGCAGCTTAAGGTGGCAGCTTCAGCAGCTTCCATGTGGACTGACTTCGGACTGCCATGTGTCCCATGATTCCTCAACAGTTGTAACTTCTTCCATCTTATCCATCTTCTGTTGTAGACTTCAACGACATTTTCTTTTGCCTTCAACAAATTTGTGTCGTGGGTAGTTTCTGTAACGACCCAAATCCTCATGGATCTGGATCATTAAACGGGTCCTTACCCGACCCAAAATTGTCCGAGGGTAAAACGGTCTTTTCACATTAAATTTAAATAACAAGGTCCAAAAGGGCAAAATGGTAATTTGTTACAATTCAATAAATTGAGACTCAAGGGTACAACGGTCATTAACTTGTATCACATAGCAAATAAAATAGGGTTCGGGGCAATATAGTCCTTTCGGGGTTAAAATATAATTATGGCATTTTATTGGGTCATAAAATAATTACGTGCAACTTCAAATGGATGCTAAGATGTAATTTTGGGACACTAAACACATATTACATAAGTGATAGAAACCGGTCGTATCCACACTATACGTCGACTAGTTTGGATATGAACAATGGGAAAACTTACTGCCAAGATACCGGTCGACGTATGGGAAGTCATACGTCGACTGGTTTGGGACATGATACCGGTCAACGTATAGGATGCTATACGTCGACAAGATTACCACACTGTAAGATACCGGTCGACGTATAGGGAGCCATACGTCGACTGGTTTGGGTCATTCACGTTCAAAATGCTTACTGTCAGGATACCGGTCGACGTATAGGAAGCTACACGTCGACTGGTTTGGGTTATCCTGACCCACTATCCAAACACTGTGCCACTACACTCACGTACATAAACTAAGATACATTTCAACATTAAATTGCAATAATAACCACCACGTTGATAACGTAATTTACAACACGTTATATACTATACGGGAATTAACATGATACGAATTTAATTACATTACCCAAATGGCCATATACATGATAAATCCAAATGTTTTACATATTGCAAAAATAATACATTTTGTGTCATGCACTTTACAAGAATAGTTTAAGTCCCATAAAATACATTCAAAAATGTCTTAAGTTCCCTTAGCTCTGTAGTGGATTATCATCCGCCAATTCCTTGCCATGACCTGAAAAATATTAATTTTGTGGGGTGAGCAAATTGCTCAGTAGGTAACACTTAAGATACGTCTCTTGTGTCCCTGTGAATCTAACCAAAGAATAGGACAATAGGAATGGGGATCATACATTGTCAGAATAACACAGCATAACAACAAGTCTCATTATAAACACTAGAATGCTATGGGATGCAATGCATACCAATGTCGCTCCCCATTTTCGAAACCATCACTTACAAACCTTTAATGTAACCCCCTTTGGTAACTCCGCAGCGCCGAGAGAAGGATTGGCTACTGTCCCTGACCTTTGGTGACTCCGCAGCGTCATTATGGGGCCCAGATAGCTCAACCACGCTAGGGCAATCTCCCTAGTTCCCTCTAGGTTACATTAACCTACCGGCCCGTTGGTGACTCCACAGTGACCAGGTTTTATCAAAACACTTTCATCAATACATTCTTTCCCAAAACTCCCCTTTTTCATTTCAAAGTCAATTTTTCCCATTTCTTGCCCAATGTAAATGCATAGATGCATTTATGTCATGCTAATACTCATCATTCCACAACCAACTCAATTTAAGTAAGCAATGCATAATTTCGCAAGAATTTCCCAAGAAAATTCAATATGCTCTCATACAACAATACATCTAGTATAACAAACATATACAAATCATCACGTAGGCACGTTTTCCACATAAAACATTTAATACAAGCTCTCACATAACCACATATACATGTTCTAACTATTTTTAAACTACAACTAGCACAAATAAGCATGTCTTGCAATAATTTAGAAGATGTAATTCACATAGGAGCAAGAAAATTGTGGATTAAGAGCCCCTACCTCAAATTAGAGCAAAACCCTTAAAATGGTCAAGAAATTCGAAGGCCAAAGGAAGCACCAAATCTGAAATTGTTGGTATCAATGCGTAGAACTCGTCGTGCTCTCCGTTTTGCCTCAAACGGCACTCAAAGTTTCCAAGGATTGAGAGAGTTATCAAAGATTAAAGTTAGCTTCCCAAAGAAAAAGAAAAACGCAAGTAAGAGAGTGAAGAAGGAGAACCAGCGGGAGAGGAAAAATAGAGACCAAAATGTGGTCTCAAGACCTTTAAGTTAGTGGTGGTGGGTCCCATGCATTTTATTTTCTTATACCTTTTTCTTTTGCTTTTATTTGTACCACAAACACATTTAAATACACTACCACATAAATACTATATTACTCACATGAATTAGCATGCACAAAATGTAAATAGACCCAACTAAGAGAAAAGACAAGAATGCCCTTACGGCGATAAAATTCCAAAAAAATTAAAAATGGTAAAAATCGGAAACGTCACAGTTTCAAAGTGAATTCCCGTGTGTCCTCTTTGTCAATTAGCATGTGTCCCACGTCTTTGCTCTTCTTCATCATGTCGTCAACCTCTTCCCTTTCTTTCAGACACGATTTCACCAACTGTTGCCTTGTCATCCATGACCCTTAATAACTTCCTTCGGTTAGTGGTAGTTCCCTTATGAAGTTCCACTACTTTCAACCGACGTATTCTTGTTTGGCCAAGTGTCCCACGACTTTTAGTAGTCTTTCCCTTCTGTTAGAACCTTCCTTTCATGGCATCGTGGTTTCTAACTTTTAGTAACCTTCTCATCGTGAATAATATTCCAACAATATAATTGCCCATATCTCTCAAACTTTGGTAACTTCCATCTTGATACTTTACTTCTAGGCTTTGGAGTTCATGGTGACATGACCTCCTTAATTTTAGCAACTTCTCCATCGTGGGTAGTTTATCCAACCCACTTCCTTTCCTTCTGTAGACCACGCCCCTGATCTTATGCCGAACCTGCCATATCAATTTCACGGCATCGTGGTTTCCTCCCACTATTCTACTGACATTACATCGTGGATTATGGTCGTAGCACACTTCCTTAATTATAGCAACTTCCCTTCAACCTTACTTCATCTAGATTTAAAACTCATGGCTTCATAGACTCCTTTTTCATGGTGATTTCTCCATCGTGGGTTAAACCTAATAAATATATATATATACTTGCAAATATATATATATATATATATATATAAACAAATTAAATCCCCGTCTTGCTGAATTTTAGTAACAGAGGTTGACCTGGCTTGGGCAATTGCTGAAGTCTCCTAAAAATAAGGAGAAAATATTGTCTCCACGTCCCTTTTACGTGACTTGGTCAACTTTGATTTAAATGGAAAATACCCATTTTAATTAGTATCCTATAAGAATAAGATCTCCCAATAAATTCATCTTTAACAGAATTAATCTACCGTGGCAAGTTTAATAAAGCTCGCCATGTGTTGATAAATTATTGGTTGGTTGAATCTTTGACTTTAACCTTCTCATGAAGTTGCACTCATGGTAATAATTCCATGCCATCTTCTTATCTTTTTAGGACATTATATCCCAAGTTTGGTAAGTCCTAGTGGGACTCACCACTCCCTTTTAATTCCCCGTAGTATTAATATTCCAAAGGAATATTTATCAGTATTACACTCTGACATGGCAAGTTTCATTGAGACATGCCATGTCACTCTTTTCTATTAATATACCATCTTAACAATTCCACGTCACATTCTCATATTCTTGAATTATTAGAACACTAAACCAATATGGTAAGCTTGTTAAAACTCGCCACTTGTCTTCTTTCCATTGGGCAAAATTATGGAACAAACAATTTGAAGAAAAAAAAAATACATGGATATGTCTGAAGAAAGTTGCTAAATCACCCAAGAGTCACTTTGGAGCCAGTCTCTACCTGACTTTAAATTTATTAGAACTTAACACGCATGTTTGGGAGGATGTGTAAGCATCAGTAAATTAAACTTTAAATCTGTAAATGAATATGTTGGGAGAGTACTTTCATTTTCCCAAAGGTTTTTAGTATGCCAAATGAATCGTTATTGTTCCCAAAGTTATTGGTGAGTAGTCCGAATTGATCTATCTGTATATATAAACATGGAGCTAGTCCTTAATTCCTTAGCAGAAGAAATATCTAACAGAGTTGACAAAGTTGGTAAGTGAATTTTTTATTTTCTTCTTCCCTTTACAAGATCTTATATACAATGATTTATGGTCGTGTTAATATTTGTTTGTCTTGAATCTGCAGTAGAAGTTAAAAGAACATTGCGTGATGTCCAGCCATCGCATTACATTTTCAAGATAGAGTCTTTCTCTTTGCTTTTGGAAACAAAAACGGAAAATTATGAATCAGATGTTTTTGAAGCTGGTGGCTATAAATGGTGTGGTTTTTTTTCTTTCCATACTCTTAATATATCCATGTCTCTACATCAAAACTAAAGTAATCAAATCTATTTATTTTTGGATTTTCAGGACTTTGTCTTTCTATCCAAATGGGAATAGGAAAAGAAATAAGAAAGATCACATTGCACTATACCTTGCAATATCGGATACAGATAATCTTCCTTGTGATTGGGAGGTCCATGTGAACTTTAAACTATTTGTCTATGATCATATACGTGACAAATACTTAACTGTTGAAGGTAGTTTATCTATTACAACAATTTTTTTTTTGAAATCTGTTACAGAAACGTAATATTTATCTAGATAGACATGTATATGTGTAGATACTGAACCAGCAAGGCGGTTCCACGTGATGAAGACGGAATGGGGTTTTGAAAAATTTCTATCTTTGGAAACATTCCAAAATCCATCAAATGGGTACCTCATAGATGACAATTGTGTATTTGGAGCAGAAGTTTTTGTTATGAAATTTGCAGGCAAAGGTGAGTGTCTGTCCATGACAAAGGAACTAAGTGACAATATTTACACTTGGAAGGTTGATAATTTTTCAGCATCAAGCCAAGAATATTTTTCTGATGAGTTTAACATTGGAGGACGGAACTGGTATGATCAACTTTTTTTTTTTTTTATGTTTTCTTTTAAAAAAAATAAAATTGGTTGTTTGACTTCTGAAGCAAGCTATTATTTGTCTTTTTATAATGAACTCAGGAAGCTCTCTCTCTATCCCAAAGGAGATGTGAAGGTGAAAGATGAAAAAAGCCTATCTCTTTTTCTTGAAGTAGCTGATTATGAAAAACTGTCTCTTAAACCCAAACTGTATGCAAAATACAAACTGAGGATAAAGGACCAAGTCAATGGTAAACACTTCGAAGAAGAACGTAAGAACTGTATTTTATACTCTGAACCGCTTTTTCTTTTTGTCGGGGGATTAGATCTTCTTCTTCCGGTGAATTTTTTTTTATTTTTTTTGTTTACTTTCCTTAAAAATTCATCTTTGCAGTTAGTGTCTGGTTTGGTGCCATGAGAAGGAGCTGGGGACGCCCAAGCTTCATGCCTTTAAGTGATCTCTATGTCAAATCAAAGGGCTTCATGGTGAATGATACTACAATTATTGAAGCGGAAATTGCAATTTTGTCTGTGACCAAGAACTTCCCTTAAAAAGTGTTCACTCATGTCTTCAAAGAAAAAGAAATAAGATAATTGGAGTTGGGTGAAGGAATTCCTCAAGTGTTAAGTTTTCTTGTAGTACTGATCATTATAATCACATCTCATCATGTTTGATTTTTGTACTATTGGTACAACATGTAGAATTCCAAAAATGGTGTATACTGATCCAACTTGTGTAACTCCTCCAATTGTAAATCTGATAAATGATACAGAACTCAACGTCGATCCTTTTGTCATGGAGGATATTGCTAGAAAGTAGAAAATCACTGATCTGGAGCAAGACCAACACTTGAAGATTATTGCCTGCGTGAAAGGGTGAGCATAAGCAAAGTGAGTGTCTTTGTAGATCAAAACCCGAGCTTTTCAAAATGACGAAGAATCGAAGCTTTTCACTCTCTCCAACAACTGTATTTTCCTTCTTCTATCTCTTGAATCGGCAAGAAAAAACTAAGAGCAGAATTAGAGAGAACAAAGGGGAGAACTTTGGGCTGAGAATTTAGATGGGACAAGAGAGTAGAGAAAGAGAAGAAAGAAGGGGAGCAAGAGGAATAGAGCACAAACTAGAGAATTTATTTTCCCCCTTGCAACTTTGAGTGCTTTTGTTTTCAGGAATGATCTATGATTTGATTTAGAATTGGAAGATAAATTATTTTGTTTTTATAATCAGTGAAATTTTATAGTTCATCTTGTTGTTCCAAGCTATTTTAACATCTTGATAACCAACATGATTTATAATAGTTTTTTATTGATATTATGAGTTTGTGTAGTTAGTATGTAAGTTAACTGCTCATGTAACTGATGATTTTCTGTTATGAAAGAATCTGTGCACAGATTTGTTTGGTAATTAGAAAACTGCAGATTTGAAATAAAATAAGTTTACTGCAGATTTGTTTGGTAATTATGAAAGATTTGTTTTTGTGCTACTTATACATGATTTGAATTTTGTCCATAGAATTGTGTATTAAGCTTATGTTTAGGTGTCTTGAATTTGGGTTGTGGCAGTCTTGGATAAGTGATGAAATTAATGGTGAATCGAAAGAGCAGACATTAGGAGTAGGGATGGCAACGGGGCCAGTTTTGAGCGGGTGTACCGTCCCCCACCTCCACAACCATTTAGAAACCCCCACCCCTATTTTCACCCAAAATCGTCTACACGGGAATCCTTCCACTCCATCCATGCCCCGTTTAACTTTTATACTCCTGTGGGCAACCGCCCTGCCCCATCTAATTCCAGAATTTCTCCTCCTTTATAAATTTTTTTTTCCTTAAATACAATTATATAACTATTGAAAAAAATCATAAAAAATGGGTAATCAATAATTTATACATAAAATTCAAAGGTATGAGCGTTCTTAGTTCGTAGGACTTTGCCGCTCACTAGAATAGTTGAGAAAGTGAGTGAATGTGGCTTAAGGTTTCTGGAACTAACTATATATACAATTTAGTAATTTACCTACCTAAATGGTCCCATCCCCGCCCCGAACACGCGCGGGTTTTCATTAATAAAAATCATCCTCGCCCAAATAAGTTAAATGATCTCCCAAAATCGCTATAAACGGGGCGGGGTAAGGTGAGTACCCATCCCCACTAGGCAAATTGCCATTCCTAATTAATGCTCTTGTGGATACAAGTATGTCTCTGTGTATTTGTTCTACGCACATACTTGTAATTAGGGTAAATTTTTTACATGAAATGCAAATGTCAATTGAAAGATTTAACATGGAATAAGTTTTTAGCTCAATTCTGGAGACTTTACAGCTCCAAGTTTCAGATAAACTGCTCAGTTTCCTTCCTCTACAAAGAAACACTTCTACCCTTGAGAAGAAATTTAGCACACTTAACTTTACAATGATCAAAGCAATAAATTAAAATTCACAGCAATTTTAAGAAAAATTCACACATACAGATTCACACACCGTTTATAGCCACCGGCTTCAAAATCATCTGATTCATATTTTTCAGTTTCTCTAACTTGAAAGTGTAATGTGATGGTTCAACATCACGCAATGTTCTTCTAGCTTCTGATAAGATCGAAGACAGACAAACATTAACATGATAAATCATTTAAAGGGAAAAGGAGATATTTATATAATTAACTTACCAACTGCGCCAATTCTGTTAGCAGACATTTCTTCTGCTGAATCTAAAATTAGGTCGTAATTAGAAATAAATAGAGAACAAAGTTATGAATTAATCACTTTAAATCCATATGAATCATTTCAATTCATATGGTTCATGTGATAAAATAAAGTTAAAGTTGCACCACTAAAAATACATAGATGTGTAAGTTGCGAGTTCTAAGTTCTAATTAATGAGAAAAATTTCTTTGCGCCCGTTGTACTGCCCAACGTGTGCATCGAACTGCTGTTCATTACCGGCGTGTTTGAAAGTATAAAGAGTCGATCAAATAAGCTAATTATTTAACTGCTCTCTATCTCTCTGATAGAAGAATAAATTAACGCACCATTTATAGCCACCAGCGTCAAAAACATCCGATTCATAATTTTCAATATTTGTTTTAAAAAACAGAAAGAGATTTATAATTTTCAATTCAGTTGTGTAACTCTTCCAGTGGTAGATCTGATAAATGATATAGAAGACCAACACTAGAAAATGACTGTACAAGGACTTTGCTTTTAAGAATGGGAAAATTACTACCAAGTCTTTTATTTTTTCATTGAAAGACAAATATTTTTTATTTTTGGGTACCAAAGCTGTCGTGAATTCTACACAATTTTTTTGAATTGAGTTTAAATTAAATTAATTATTATTTAAACTTCAAAATGCAATATTCATTAATTAACTAAACTTAAATGTGTGTGTGTGTGTGTGTATATATATATATATATATATAACAAATAAATTTTGAAAAAAAATATAACTACAAAATATTATAAATCAATTTTTTTAAAAATTTATTATTAATTTTTTTTTTAACTTCATTTAGCAAGAGTATAAATGAAATTTTTAGTAATTTAGTACCTAAATGAAAAAGAAAAAAAAAAATTCAACAGTAGGACTTATTGATCCTAATTGAAATTTATAAGATTGTTTTTTAGTGAGAAAAGTAGAATTTGAGTTTCTTCACCCTTTAAGAATTGAGTTTTTGTGTCCATTCAAAAGGAAGTTGTTTACCACTGTACTAGTTTTTCTCCTCTTACATTTCATTTGATTTTTTTTTTTTTATAAATCAAAGTTAAATTGCTAAAAAAAAATCTCCTAATGTGCACTACCTCCTTGGTGTTAAAAAAAATCCTCCCTCCAGATTGAGCAACGAGGGCAATTATTCAATTTGAAGACTGAAATACTTAAAATGACCTTAAGACAAAATATAAAATTAAAAATAAGTAAACAAATAAAATAATTTTAAAAATAAAAATAAGGGCAATATTTAAATTTTTTTACTTTTAATTTTTTATTTAATATTTTAAAAAAAAGAAATACCTAAAATTCCCTTAAAGGTATTTTGGAATTTTTATATAAAAAAATTGGTCAAAATTGATAATCAGGTACAATTTGCACAAATCATCAAAATACTGTAATTTATGTGCACTTTATAAAAAGAGGGGTTGTTTTTTTGCATTTTACCCTAAATAAAATAATCAAAATTCTCCCTCATGAGTGGGGCATATGAGTGTTTTTGAAATAATTACTCTACTGAATAAATTGCTACATCTTTGCACTACTCATTTGAATAAACGAAAACATTTCAAGCCAATTAGTCAAATAAGTCCTCCATAAAGAATTGGAAAAATAAAAGCATCCCCGACGATCAGGACACCCTCGGCGAGGCTTCGACTCACACAGGGATTTAGGTTATTAAAATTGGCTTAGATTAGTAGTTGGGAAAATTTTAGAAGACACTGTTACAGTATTTCGAATATCACAACTGTTGGATGTTGTGGTGGAGTGTACACTGTACAGTGTACCTGATGGATGATCCAATTGAAAGACTCCGGTATTGTACAACTCAATTATTGGACCTTTTCTACTATCGTTTGGGTCTTCTTGTATTGGGTTTTGTTGGCCTCTTTGGCCCATAGCGGCCTATTCTACAGTTTCCATATTTATACATTGCTTAACATTTGAGAGGAAAAAAGAAGACAAGAACGCCTTTAAAAATCTTTTATCAAAAATAATTCTAGGGAGCACCAACGAGAGTCTTCCATGTAGTACCAAAATTACTGAAAAATAAAATAAAAAGAAAAGCATGCTTTTGAAAAGAAAGGCATGTATGCTTTTGAAAAGAAAAGAAAGACTTTAAAGAATCTTTTATCATTCATAATTCTACGAATCAATTTAAAAGTTAAGTTGTTAGATAGGATTACCACTGTTCATTCATTTTTTTATCTAATTCGTAAAACAAGTTTCTACTTATAATATTTTTTACTACTTAAATTTTTAATGCTTTTCTTGTGATTAGGCCACCTGCTTTTCTGAGGTAGCGTACTTGGACATTCAGATCGGGTGCGCCATCGGATGTGCGCACCAAAATTAATCATAATTCTAAAGAGCACCAATGGTCTTCCTTGTAGTACCAAAATTATTGAAAAATAAAATAAAAAGAAAAGCATGCTTTTGAAAAGAAAGGCGTGTATGCTTTTGAAAAGAAAAGGAAGACTTTAAAAATCTTTTATAATTCATAATTCAAAGTTATTTATTTGAGTTATTAGACGATGTTAGCATTATTTATTTATTTTTTCATCGTGAAATAAGTCCCTACTCCCTACTTATAACATTTTTTACTACTCAAACTTGTAACACTCTTGTCGTGGTTAGGTCACCCTATTTTTTTGAGGTGACGCACCCAAACACATCCCGATCGAGTGCTTGACGGACAGGCCGGCTCGAGCCTTAGATGACCAATAGAACGGTTCCAAAATTTTAAAATTTTTTATATTAAGTTATACTGTAATTATTTCCTAATATTGTTAAACTCTAATAAATTTAAAATTTTTATATTAGGCCTCAAAGATTTCTATCTTAAAATATATTTTTTTACCTCTACCCACTCGTTTCGATTTTATATTATGCCTCAAATATTTATATCATAAAATAACTTTTTTTTCCTTCTTTTTTCTCTCTCATCTAGGGTGCATACGGTCTGATTTGGACGGGATTGAGAGTATTTTGGAACCAAACCATTTATAACGGTTCCACTATTTTTGAAATCAGACCGAACCATAATGTCCATGGAACCAAACCAAACCACGAAAAACCGGTTTGGCTCGGTTCGGTTTGTCAGTTTCAGTTAATTTTCTTTTTATTTTATTTTAATTTAGAGGGGGTAAAGTTTAAAAAAATAATAATAATTCAAGTAAGATATAACACGCATAAAAAAGAATTTTAAGAAGAAAAAAAGGAAAGAAAATTGAGATATATTTGAAAGGAAAGAAAATTGAGATATATTTGAAAAAAGAAATTTGACTTTTTTTAAAAGAAATTTAAGGAATTTAAATAACAAAAGAAAGAAAAGGGGCCCGTGAGAATTTTACTTGATTTAGGTTTAGGATATGATATATATATATATATATATATAACATAGTAACGGTTTGATCCGGGCTAGTCCGGTCGAGCACGACTCTAAATTAGGACCGGATCGAAAAATTACGGTTCCATAATTTTGAATACAGGATCGGATCAAACCGCTATACAACTAATCCAAACAACCCAATTCAGTATGATCCAATTCGATTTTTCAATTTACCGGATATTTTGAACACCCTTATTCTCATTCATTCCTATTTTATATTAGCCCTCAAATATTATATCCTAAAATAACTTTATTTTTTTTCTCTTTTATCTCTCCTCTCGTTCCGTTTAACTCTAATTAATACATAAATTTAATATTGACCCAAAGATTTACATCCTCGTATTACTGTTTTTTCCTTCCAATTTTTCACTGTCATCCATGTTTTATAATAAATCCTAACCAATATAAAAATTTAATATTAGGCCCAAAATTCTTCGTATAAAGCTGAAGCTAACGTTATTCACGAATTGAGTAAACATCTAATTCAATTCAATTGAGAGGCAGCAAAGTCAGTCCATCAATGGTGGACAAAGCTTCTTCTTCGTCTTTCTTGTTTTTGTGGTCCAAGTCGGCTTGGGTCGAAGCCCGAACAACTTGCAATCACCTGGCTTCTTTGTCTTCTGATCTCACCCACTTTCCCACTCTAGACACTCCCTGCAACAGGTCCGTAATCTTTTCACAAACCCTACTTTTTAATTTTTGAATATTCTTCTTATGGCTTTGGAAATATTCTAATTTTGCATTAACCAAAATGATACTGATGGGTTTTAACTTTTTTATTTTTATTTTTTATTTTGGAACTAAATTTTCAAAAAGTTTTATTGGGCAAGAAAACAGAACGGCAATGGTTTTTTTGGTAACCAATTGTTATAGAATGCTAACACTTGTGTACTGTGTAATTAAGAAAATGCCTAAGCACCAACATTACTGATCCACTTGAGCAGCCAATAATCTGCAAATCATACATATTGTTATAAATTATTTGCTACAATCTCACCAAATCTAACTGAACTGTTTTGAACTTTTTTGCTGGATTTTAACTGATTATGTTTTTTCGGTTAAATTATATTCAACAAGTGATAAATTTGTAAGTAACAATGTCAACTGAGTTGCTGGTTCAAAAGAAGCTGCGGGAGAGAGAGTATGTGCATACTCTGAACTGATGCTGATTCTGGTCTTAGTTAAAGCACAAACTGCCATAGAGGACATTAAAGTGTAATGATCCCTTGAGCATTTTTCATTTTGTTACGTTACGCGCGTTTCTGCCAGTGCTCCCTATTAGTTTGCTTTGAAGTTATGGTATTATTAAAATCTTATTGAATTTTCTTTATAAGGTACAAGTATGTGGCTAAGTTTTAATTTTATCAAATCCCCAAATGTATATAATATATATATTTTTAATTTTATCAAATCCCCAAACGTATATAATATATATAATATATATACATTGCTTTTTAGAGTAAAATAGGGTTTTCACTCATTTTGAAGCAAATGAACATAATAAACGAGTCATATGAATAGTTTTATAATAAGGTTGAATTATTTTATCAAATTCCCAAACCTATAATATATATATATATATATATATATATATATATATATATATATATATTCCTTTTTTAGAGCAAAATAGTGTTTTCACTCATTTTCAAGCAAATTAACATAATAAACAAGTTCAATGAATAATTTTATAATAAGTTTTAATTATTTGATATGATTGTTATATTTGTTTGAAATGTATGAACTTATTTATTTTTTATTTATTAGTGAGAGCTATTTTTTCCCCTCATAGTATCCATAAAAGAATACTAAAGGGATGCAACCCACTTGCACACATGGTATATAGAGTCAAATTATTATTATTTTTTATTATTATTTTTTTTTGGAAAGTTCAAGCAAACACACTCACTATATATGTTATGCCTCCACTAGAGCTCGAACACTCAACCTTCCCACCTGGCTCTTTATATAGAGTCAAAATTTTATAGATTCTTTATAAATAGACAAATTAAAATCATCAACAAATTTATATTGGCTCAAGGAATGATTCAACCTCTTTGTCATCAAACCAAATAGAACATCCAAATGAGTCATCTTAAATTTATGAACTTGATTCTCTACTCTATGCTGGTTCATGTATATGTTACGATTTGGCTTGACCCTGGTTGTACACCTTGAACCTAAATTTTTCAAGTATCCTTGATAAGTAAAAGAAATATTTCTAAGGAAAATTAATTGAATCATGTCCCAAAGCATTATTGGTTGCAAGTGAAATTGACTGTTACTGCCTCTTATAGAAATAGGTTGGTTTGAATATATTGATAAGTAAAAGAAATATTTCTAAGGCAAATTAATTGAATCATGTCCCAAAGCATTATTGATTGCAAGTGAAATTGACTGTTACTGCCTCTTATAGAAATAGGTTTGTTTGAAAATAGTTTGATTTATGCCATTGATATCCACCAAGATATTCCAGCCAACCTATCTGTGTTGGGGTTTGATATCCTCTTTAAGTATTCAAAGGTTAAACTTTTAACAGGAAAATGCATTTCCTAACCTATTCTACTACTTACTGAAGGTGCCACCACCCCGATGATAATTGGTTATGTTTATGCTGTAAGGATGTTCTTTGCAGCCGTTATGTGAACAATCATATGCTCGATCACTTTCAGCAGAGCAAACATTGTGTGGCACTAGGCTACAGGTATGTATTAAGATGTATTTATATTTTGAATAGAATTCGTTCTGTATTCTCATTCTTCTTTTATTGGACAATATGTTTCAGACTTCTCATTTTTTATTTGTTTACTTTTTGGAAGCAGTGATCTGTCAGTTTGGTGTCACCTGTGTAATGCATATTTAGATGCTCAAGTGATTTTGCCACTGCGTCCTGTTTATGAAACTGTTTACAAACTGAAATTTGGTGAAGCACGTGAATCCCCACCATCTCAGGCAATTGAATATTTGCAGATAGAGGATAAGATTGAATATTTGCAGATAGAGGATAAGAAAGCTGAGGTCCCAACTTCAGGCAGTTAAGTTCATCTAATGAAAACTTCAGGCAATTAAGTTATTATCTGCCCTTTGTGCCTACATCTGTATTTCCATTTGAAGTTTGAGGTTGCTATGCTATTTATTCATAACTGCAAAATTACATGAGGTTAATTTCAGTAAATTTGTCCTGACTCCTGCCTCATCAAGATTAATTTTTGTTGACCTGTTGAGTTTAGGCATGCATTTGTGTAGTTAAAACTGTTTTTGAATAAAATTTTCAGCGAGCAGCCCTTGCTATGAAATTCATGCCAGGAAAAAGGGTCATCTTTTTTAGTCTTTACAATTTGCTTGTACTGGTGGTTTCCTAGTGATAGAAATCTTTCCATAAACAAAGCACAGTTCATCCTAATTGTTAGAAGAAAAATAGCCCCTGAGGTTAGGAGCGTGTGTTCAACAACCCCCCTGCTGTTATTTATCTCCGTTTCTGAAATTTCAGAAAATGACTTGGTTGCCCTTGTCCTATGTTAAAAGCCTTCTCTTTTGACATAAAATGACGAAAATACTAGGAAAAGTTACACTTACCTCCCTTGTAGGTTGTCTAAATATCAGGAACCTCTACTCTAGTTTCAAATATAATACTGATCTCCCCTCTAGTTCAGGTTTGAGTAACACTAACCTCCTCTGTCGTAAAATCTGACAATCTTGTCATGCTCAATATTTAGTTAAAACCCGATAATGCACTTAGAAATTTTATATTAAAAAATAGTAAAAGTATAATGGATGTAATAGTTGTTTAACACTATCGGGTTGAAGTCAACATTGATAGGAGTGGTCAGTGTTATATTTGAAACTATAGGAGAGATCCCGGTTATTTAGCCAACCTACAGGGGAGATGAGTGTTTCAATTTTAAACTAGGGAACACATTCTGTCACGTTTGTCCTTCTTTTAACCACTTAAATTACATGATAGAAATCTCATCATCGTACTCATAATTAAAATTGTCTAAATGCATTTTGCAAGAACACTATCATTCTAATACGTTTCTTTGTGCCTGTGCTCCAAACGTGTCTTATTTGCGCCCGATATTTCATTGAATGTTGCGTTTGGTATGCTGGAACGGAATTGAATGCAAGTGGGAATGTAATGGAATGATCATTCTCATTCTATTGTTTGGTTGCAAATATGACAGGTGCATTTTGCAACAAGTCAATATTTGAAAGGTGTTTAGTTTACCAAAATGTAAATGAAAAATGTACCACTTCCTCCTATATTAGACAATTCCGAGTGAAGATTTTTGTTTTTGTTACTTATTGCAGAAAAGTTATCAACATTCCAAGTTTGTGTTGCCATCCAGTTTCCTTTTCGTGGACGGACACTCCTCTTTCCCTGCACAAAAGATGGGATTAATTATACTGATGACACTCTCTCAAGTTTGCCTTAATTATATGTAAATAATTTTTTTGGAGGAAATAGATTTTGGCACTCATTCACTTTTGGCACACCGGGAGTGTTTTTTTTTTCCGATAACCAGGGTGTCCGGGGTTTTGCTGCAACTAATTTACGGGATCCATCCGTGCAAGACGCCCCCACACGGATCACGTAAAGTTCGGATTATATCCGCGGGCCGCGTGGCCCCCAAGGAATTGTTTGCACCTAGGAAGAATCGATCCCAAGAGGCACAAGACCCAATTCTTTAATTTCCAACTAGGCTTTGTGGTTACACCCCGGGAGTTCCTTCTCTTGATATGTATTTATTATATGTGTGTGTGTGTGTGTGTGTGTGTATATATATATATATATATTTTGGCATCCCCAAACTCATTTCTATACAAACATCACAATATCACATTGCCAAGTTCAACCTCTGTTCCACAATGCCCAATCCAGTTTAAATTCTTCACTTCATTTCCACAAGGTCTACCTCATTTACTGAGCCATTTACCTGAAAAAAAAAAAAAAAAAAAAAAAAAAACAACAACAACAACTTTCTGAGCTACAAATTGAATTTACTGTGTGTGTGTGTATATATATATATATTTCCTTAGACAAATAACTCCCCAATATTCTTGGAGAGAGGAAATTTTATTGAGCCACATGCCATTTGACATATGCATAGCACATAGACAACAAAAAAATGTTATGGTAGAGAACTCAAAAAATGGAAAAGTGTATAGGGAGTAAATGAATATGTTGGGAGAGTGCTTTTATTTTTTCCAATGTGGGTTTTAGTGTGCGCAAAGAATCTTTAATATTCCAAAGTCATTAGTATACCTAAGCCTATCAGAAGTCGTCACCAAGAAAGTCACAAAACGTTTTTTTTAATTACTTCATTATGTATTCATCACAATAAATGTCATCTAACATAATTGATACTAAGTTAATTATTAATTTTATTTTTCCTTTCATGATTTTATTATTTATATACAATCAATTCTGTTAATTTAAAATATTTGTATCTCTTCAATTTGCAGCCGAAGCTAGAAGAACATTGCGTGATGTTAAACCATTGCATTACCTTTTCAAGATTGAGTCCTTCTCTCTCCTTCTGGAAACAGAAATTGAAAATTTTGAATCAGGTGTTTTCGAAGCTGGTGGCTATAAATGGTGTGTTGTTTGTTTTTTCCTTCAGTACTCTTAATTAAACCATGTCTTCACATCAAAACTAAGTTAATCATATCTATTTATGTTTGGGCTTTTAGGAAATTGTCTTTCTATCCAAATGGGCAAGATCACATTTCACTATACCTGGTTATATCGGATACTAATAATCTTCCTTGTGGTTGGGAGGTTAATGTGAACTTTAGATTATTCGTCTTTGATCATATACGTGACAAGTACTTAACTATTGAAGGTATTTTCTCTATGACATGTTAAATTTTCAGAATCAGCTTTAGAAACATAATACTCATATAGATAGGTATTTATATGTAATGTAGATGCTGAACAAGTAAGGCGCTTCCATGGGTCGAAGACTAAATGGGGTTTTGAGAAATTTCTCTCTCTCAAAGAGTTCCTAAATCCATCAAATGGGTATCTCATAGATGACTCATGTGTATTTGGAGCAGAGGTTTTCCATATGAAATTTGCCGGCGAAGGTGAGTGTCTGTCCATGACAAAGTTAGTAAGTGACAAATTTTACACTTGGAAGGTTGATAAATTTTCAGCATTAAGTGAAGAATGTCTACGTTCCAAGGAGTTTAAGTTTGGAGGGCGGAACTGGTATGATAAATTTTTTTTTTTTTTTTTTCTCTTTAAATTTGGATGTTCTTAATTTGTAATAGGCTTGTTTAATTCTAAGGTAAGCTATTATTTGTGAATTTTATTATGAATTCAGGGAGCTTGTGCTCTATCCCAAGGGAAATGGAATTTCAAAAGACGTATATCTATCTCTGTCTCTTGGAGTAGCTGTATCTGAAAAACCCGCCCTTAAATCCAATCTGTATGCAAAATACAAGTTAAGGATAAAGGACCAAGTCAATGGTAAACACGATGAAGTGGAAGGTAAGAACTGTGTTTTATACTCTCAGCTGCCTCCGAAGAACTTTCTTACCACTGGAGCATTTTCTTTTCTTTTGATTTTGTGTTTTTTTGTGGTAAATATTTGTTTTCTTTTTTGTTAATCTTAAAATTTTATCTTTGCAGATAGTTCCTTGTTCTGTTCCACTGGTAGTGAATGGGTATACAGAAGCTTCACTTCTTTAAGTCATCTCTATGACAAATCAAAGGGCTTCTTAGTGAACGATTCTTTAATTATTGAAGCAGAGTTTTTGTTGTTGTCTGAGACTAAGAATTTCAAATAAAAAGAGTTCCATTATGTCTTCAAAGAAAAAGAAACAAGATAATTGGAGATGGGCTCTCTCTCTTCATCAAGTGTAGTAAGTCTTCTTGTTTTGCCCTAGTACAACTGATCATTATAGTTAGCATTCCAGACTTTCAGTGTGAGATTATGCAAATCTCATTGTCCAAACACATCTCATCGTGTTTGTTAATTTGTATTGTTGGCATTCCAGACTCTCAGTGTGGGAGATTATGCAAATCTCATTGTCGAAACACATCTCATCATGTTTGTAGATTTGTATTGTTGGTGCATGTGGAATTCCAAAATTGGAATACTGATCCAACTTGTTGAATGCACGGTAGTTGTCTGGAAGACGACCTCAAACTAACCCAAACCTGAACAGAGATAATATATAAATGTTAAGACTTTTTTAAAATTAAACTAGGCGATTCGGTCCAAAGTGATAGTGAGAGGGGAAAAAAAAGAGAGAGTGGAGAGTGGAGGGAGGGAAGAAATTTTTGAAATTGAAGGTGTCATTATACATTGTGGGTAAAACCTTGCCTAACAGCCCCTGTAGAGGAGAAAAAATGAGCTTCAACTTTCTGAATGAGGGCATCTTTGGATACCATAGCATTGTGTTTCTTTCATGGTTGTGGAGTGCGAAAATGTTTTTGCAGGATGCACGACAATTGTGGGATTTGAAGATTGATATTTTAAGGACGATTATGTTGTTCTCTTTTAGTTAGCAAGTGGGAGTATAGAAGCGTTCAAGTAAAATGGACCATGAAAGTGTAAAACATCGACTTTATTTTGGCGGGAAATTTTTACTTGGTCTAGGTTTTGGGCCAACGTCACCAAAATCAAAAAACACAATGAGAAGGGAGTATAACAGTGTGGGCAAGAACATTTTTTACACTAATTAAAAAAAAAAAATATGACTATCATTCTAAATCATTCAATTTTTAAACTAGACTAAGCTCTCTCAACAGTAAAAAATTTCTACCATGTACTACTTCAAAATGGTAAATTGTAGTGAGTTTGAAAAAAAAATAAATAAAATAAAAAAATAAAAAAATAAAGAAGAAGAAGAAGAAGAAGAAGAAAGTTGCATATTTTATTTTTTATCTTCTTACAAGAAGAATTATATATGATTGCATGGTTGTAGACTGCAGGGAAGAGGTTTTAATTGTCAATATGAAGAAATAAAATAAGAAAAATGATACTCATGGTGTCTTAACTTCATTTTATCTCATGAATGATGGACTTTTACTGATTCGATCGTATCAATTATTCATATCAACCATTTGGTGTGCTATACTTGCAACAACTTGCTGAGATACGAAAACTCAGCGCCAACAATTTACTGGAAGCTCTTGCCTTTTTCTTCTTTTATGGCCGTATGGCCTTCTTTAGGCCTAACACGTTTTTTAATTTTTTTACTATGTTAACTATCATTTCCTCTAAAAGCTTTAGTATTAAGGTGTGTAACTTAAATATTTAAATCATCATTTAGGAAAAAAAAAATTAAATCATCTGACACAATCTCTCTTATGTTTGACCTTCTTTCCGCCACTTATTTGTGCCTTTGCTTCAAACATGTCTGATTGGCGACCATTTCAGTGAAAGAGTAAGCTTGGCTAACGTTCATGTTCACAATCTCTCGGCCCCAAAGGAAATGGAAAGTGGAAAGGCGAAAGCCTCTCTCTTTTTCTTGAAGTTGCTAGTTTAACGTGTATTAAGTCTTACTAGTTCACCATCTACATGTATACATAACTATATAAATATTATTTTGCTATAGCAAATTTCAGAAAATTTAACGTGTGTAACAGAAAAACTACTTTTGATAGTTAAGTGCTACTTGTCACGTATATGATCAAACACAAATAACGTATATGATCAAACACAAATAATTTAATGTTTACATGTGCTCACCTCCCAACCACAAGGAAGATTATCTGTATCTGATATTGCCTGGTATAGTGAAATGTGATCATTTCAATTTGGATAGAAAGACAATTTTTTGAAAACCCAAAAATAAATAGATAGATACCAACAGGTTGGTGGCCTAGCGATATCAGGCCCTTACTTTTCAAAGAGAGATTAAGGGTTCAACTCTTAGTCGAGGTATGTGTGTGTGTGAGTACCAACTAAAATATATATATATATATATATATATATATATATAGATATGATTAGTTTAATTTTGATATGAGACATGGATAAATTAAGAGTATGTAAGGAAAAAAAAAATAACAAAAATTACCACACCATTTATAGCCACCAACTTCAAAAACATTGGATACATAATTTTTAATTTTTGTTTTAAGAAACAGTGAGAAAGACCCTATCTTGAAAATGTAATGTTGGTATATGCGTCCAAACATGAGGAATACTACTAACACAATTCATTTGAGTAACTCTTCCGGTAAGTGGTGTAGCCAAGAATTTCCTTCGTTGGGGCAATCTCTAATACCAATAATATATATGTTTAATTAATTAAGAATAAGATCTAAAAAAAAAAAATAACACAGTTACTTAAATGTAAGTGTTCTAATATATCACATATGTAAAAAAAAATAAAAATCAAATTCCATGATAAACAATTTAATTCCAAAAAATTCCATGGTAACAAACATTCTTGTCAGACGGTCAATCTACTCATAATAAAAATTTATTCATATTAAAAATCAAAAAAATAAAATAAAAAGCAAGATATGAAGATAACTAACCTTATATAAGTTATAACCAGATAATTCAATCAATCAAAAAATTTGATAGAGTAAGTGAATCTGTGATTTCATTGATTTGGGTTGCAAATAAAAAAAATTCTAACTCTTATTTAGAGAATAATAATTAGTAAACACAAACTAAATTTTAAAAGAACAACAAACCCTAAAATAATTTGAAAGTAACCACTAATAATTTTTCTAATTAAAATTATAATATCAAATAATAATAGTAAATTTAGATGGAAAAAAAATTGGATTGTGAATTTGTGAAATGTTGAAGACTCGCGAAAAGGAAAACTGAATATGATGAAAACAATCCATTTATTTGTAGTAAAGTCAAAAGTGTGAAAAAATATATTGATAAATGTATTTTTTTTTTTTTAGAAAGTGAAAAATAATATAATATTTTGAGAAAGTGGAAAAAAAAAATATAATATTTTGTAGGAAAGTGATAAATATATATATTTACAATTTTGTCATGATTATATTCTTTTTCTTATTATATATACGTGTATAATTAAATTTTAGAGGGGGCAATTATATAAATATAAAAATTTATCACTAAAAAATTAAAAGTTCAGTAGGGGCAGATGTCCCCACTTGTCCCTCTATGACTATGTCACTACTTCCGGATCTAGTGGTAGATCGGATAAATGATATAGTTGACCAACACTAGAAAATGATTGTACAAGGACTTTGCTTTTAAGAATGGGAAAATTACTACCTAGTCTTTTATTTTTTCATTGAAAGAGAAATAGGTCTCATAAGTATCCTTTAGAACAAATAAGTTCTTACTTTTGAAAATTTTGTTTAGATCCCTAAATCTTCTATTTATTCCTTTACAAAACTGGATATAAATTTTAAATAAAGATAAAAGATAACATTTTATTGACTTTTTATAAAATATTTTTTACTTTTGGGTACTACTAAAGCTGTCGTACTCATGAATTCTACACAGTTTTTTTGAATTGGATTTAAATTAATTAATTATTATTTAAACTTAATGTTCACATGCACCTCCCAACCACAATGAAAATTATCTGTATAGGATATTGCCAGGTACATTGAAATGTGATGTTTCCAATGGATAGAAAGACAATTTCCTGGAAATCCAAAAATAGATAGATATGATTAGTTTGATTTTGATATGAAACATGGATAAATTAAGAGTATGTAAGAAAAAAAATATATATATATATATATATAAATTAACATACCATTTATAGCCACCAGCTTAAAAAATATTGGATTCATAATTTTCAATTTTTGTTTTAAGAAACAGAGAGAGATTCTATCTTGAAAATGTAATGTTGGTACATGTGTAATTCCAGACATGGTGAATACTACTGATACAATTCAGTTGTGTAACTCTTCCAGTGGTAGATCTGATAAATGATATAGAAGACCAACACTAGAAAATGATTGTACAAGGGACTTTGCTTTTAAGAATGGGAAAATTACTACCAAGTCTTTTTATTTTTTCATTCAAAGACAAATAGGTCTGATAAATATCCTTTAGAACAAATAAGTTCTTACTTTTGAAAATTTTGTTTAGGTCCCTAAATCCTCTATTTATTCCCTTACAAAACTGGATATAAATTTTAAATAAACATAATAGATAATATTTTATTGACTTTTTACAAAATATTTATCATTATTTTTTTTGAATTGGATTTAATTTAAATTTATTATTATTTAAACTCCTAATGTATATATTTATAAAACAATAAGTTTATGTTGGGATTTTGGCCCCTTCAAGGGTGTATGCTCAAAAAGCACTCTCGGAACTTGATATAATTGTGTGCGCTTCAAAAATTTATATATTTACTTAATTCACTCATTCAAATTCCAATCTTCTTTGAAAAAAATTGACAAAAAATTGAAAAAATAAAAGTATATCCTACAATCATCGGACACCCTCTCCTCTTCGGGTGGCGAGGCTTCACCTCATAGGGATTTAGGTATTAAAATTGGCTTAGATTTTTAGAATATACTGTTACCGTATTCTTGGATCTCCCAATTATTGGATGTGATGGTGGGGGTGTGTACCTGATGGATGATCAAATAATTGGAAGACTGCAGTTGTACAACTCGATTATTGGAGCCTTTCTACTATAGCTTGGGTCTTCTTGTATTGGGCTTACAGTTCAGGTCCTGCTGGGAAGGTTTCTTAGTCTTCCTAGTTAGCTATCCTTTTGGATTTTGTTGGCCTCTTTGGCCCATAGCGGCCCAACTCTACAGTTTCCATTGCTTAACGTTCACTTCTTGTGAGAAAAAAAGAAAAGACAAGAACAGCTTTAAAAATCTTTTATCAATCATAATTCTAAGGAGCACCAATGGGAGTCTTCCATGTAGTACCAAAATTATTGAAAAATAAAATAAAAAGAAAAGCATGCTTTTGAAAAAGAAAGGCCTGTGTGCTTTTTGAAAAGAAAAAGAAAGACTTTAAAGAAGCTTCTATCATTCATGATTCTAAGGTGCAGCAATGGAGTAAGCAAAAAGTGGGACTCTTGAGATAAAAGCTGAAGCTAACCTATTCTCGAATTGGGTGACCATCTAATTCAATTCAATCGAGAAGCAGCAAAATCAGTCCATCAATGGTGGACAAAGCTTCTTCTTCGTCTTCCTTGTTTTTGTGGTCCAAATCGGCTTGGGTCGAAGCCCGAACAACTTGCGATCACCTGGCTTCTTTGTCTTCTGATCTCACCCACTTTCCCACCCTAGACACTCCCTGCAACAGGTCCGTAATCTTCTCACAAACCCTACTTTTTCATTTTTGAATATTCTTCTTATGGCTCTGGAAATATTTTATACTGATGGGTTTTAACCTCCTTTTTTATTAAAATTATTTTTTTGGGGAAAAAAAAAAATCATAACAAACTAAATTTAGTATTATTATAAATTATTGGCCTTAGTTGTATCCATCTTCTTTTGGAACTAAAAAAAAAAAAAAATTATTGGGCAAGAAAACAGAAGGGCAATGGTTTTTTTGGTAACCAATTGTTATAGAATGCAACACTTGTGTACTGTGTAATTAAGAAAATGCCTATTCACCAACATTACTGATCCACTTGAGCAGCCAATAATCTGCAAATTATATATATTATTTTCAATTATTTGCTATGATCTCACCAAATCTAACTGAACTGTTTTGAACTTTTTTTCTGAATTTTATCTGATTATGAATTTCTGTAATTTTTTCATATATGGGTTAAATTATATACAGCAAGTGACAATGTCAACTGAGTTGCTAGTTCAAAAGAAGTTGGGGGAGAGAGAGTGTGTGCATACTTTGAACTGCTGATTCTGGTCTTAGTTAAAGCATAAACTTCCATATTTGAAGATGAATTTTATACATTGTATTCTTCATAAAATGCAAGGATCATACATGCCATAGAGGACATTAAAGTGTAATCATCCCTTAAGCATTTTTCATTTTGTTAGCTTAAGTTTTACTTATCAAAATTTTTCTTTTTCTTTTGTTAGCTTAAGTTTCTGCCACCAAGCAGTACTGGTCCCTAATAGTTTACTTCAAAGTTATGAAATTATTGAAATCTTATTGAATTTTCTTTTTAACTTATAATACTTCCTATGTATCATGCACCCAGGTACCTGTGTTAGGTACAAGCATGCATTTTATTTTTTAAATTTGATCAAATCCCCAGACGTATATAATATTTTACTTTTTTAGAGTAAAATAATGTTTTCACTCATTTTGAAGCAAATGAACATAATAAAAGAGTTTTATGAATAGTTTTATAATAAGTTTGAAATATTTTATCAAATCCCCAAACCTATATATATATATATATATATATATATATATATATATATATATATAATCCTTTTTTTAGAGTAAAATAGTGTTTTCACTCATTTTGAAGCAAATGAACATAATAACTAGTTCTATGAATAATTTTTTATTATTTGATATGATTGTTATATTTGTTTGAAATGTCTGAACTTATTTATTTCTTTTATTTATTAGTGATTGCTATTTTATTTTCCCATAGTATTCATACAAGAATACTAAAGGGATGCAACCCACTTACACACATTGTATATAGAGTCAAATTATAATTATTTTTTATTTTTATATTTTCCAAAATTTCAAGCAAAACATTCGCCCACAATATATGCTATGCCTCCACCGAGGCTCAAACACTTAGTCTTCCCATCTGGCTCTTTATATAGAGTCAAAATTTCATACACTCTTTATATAGACAAATTCAAATCATCAACAAATTTATATTACCTCAAGGAAGGATTCACCCTCTTTGTGATCAAACCAAATAGAACATACAAATGCGTAATCTTAAATTTATGAACTTGATTCTCTACTCCCTCGAAAGAATGCTGGTTCATGTATATGTTATGATTTTGCTTGACCCTTGTTGTACGCCTTGAACCTAAATTTTTCAAGTATCCTTGAAAGTAAAAGAAATATTTCTGAGGCAAATTAATTGAATCATGTACCAAAGCATTATTGGTTGCAAGTGAAATTGACTGTTACTGCCACTTATAGAAGTAGGTTTGTTTGAAAATAGTTTGATTTATGCCATTGATATCCACCAAGATATTCCAGCCAACCTATCTGTGTTGGGGTTTGAATGTTTGATATCCTCTTTTAGTATTCAAAGGTTAAACTTTTAACAGGAAAATGCATATCCTAACCTATTCTACTACTTACTGAAGGTGCCACCACCCCGATGATAATTGGTTATGTTTATGCTGTAAGGATGTTCTTTGCAGCCGTTATGTGAACAAGCATATGCTCGATCACTTTCAGCAGAGCAAACATTGTGTGGCACTAGGCTACAAGTATGTATTAAGATATATGTATATTTTAAATAGAATTCCTTCTGTATTCTCATTCTTCTTTTATTGGACAATATATTTCAGAGTTCTCATTTTTTATTTGTTTACTTTTGGAAGCAGTGATCTGTCAGTTTGGTGTCACCTGTGTAATGCATATTTAGATGCTCAAGTGATTTTGCCACTGCGTCCTGTTTATGAAACTGTTTACAGACTGAAATTTGGTGAAGCACGTGAAGCCCCACCATCTCAGGCAATTGAATATTTGCAGATAGAGGATAAGAAAGCTGAGGTCTCAACTTCAGGCAGTTAAGTTCATCTAATGAAAACTTAAGACATTAAGTTATTATTGTTGAGTGTGCGCAGCGCGGAATGGTTGTAGAATATAATATGGATAGATAATATAGAGAGATGATAAATAGATTCAACTTACTCTTTCATCCAATTTTTACTTATTTTAATTTTACCGAAATAAAACTAAAATCAAACCACAAAGCAAAAATAAAGTGCAAGTAAAGTAAATAGAGTTTGAGAGATGACACCAAGATTTTATCGAGGAAACCCTAATTGGTAGAATAGACCAATTGTAACAGGAAAAACCTCGTTGGACTCTCCAGTCCTGAGATAAACGATCCACTATGTTTGAAACAAAGTATACCAAACTTTGACTCAGTCTCACACCCTATCGTTCTACCAAAAACCAATTGCTGACAATCCCTGGCTTTGCGACTCCCCCGTCCAACAGCTCTCGACCTCGGGCTTACTCTCGATCTCTGTAGAAGAGTTGCAGGTAGATCAAACAACACTCCACGAATGCTCTGACCTCTTCAAAGTGTGATCGCTTCACCCCTTTTTTTCTAGATCTGAATTTGATGAAGAACAAATGAATTCTGCTTTTTCGGAATTTTTGAATCTTCAATTATACTTCAATTCCGATGAGATAGAGAATAACACTCCTAAATCACTCAATTGTTTATGTGTGTGCTCTCAAAAATAAAATCAGATTGATTTTCTAAATGAATAAAAAAATATCTCTCAAAAGGCTCTCTCAAAGATATGAAATTTTGTATGCAAAAGCCGTATCTAAACCAATGTGTATGACAAGGTTTATATAGAGTTTAGAAAGTCCTAATTCCTCAGAAAATATGATAAAATTCGTGCATAGGATTTGGAAGGAAGTTGGGATTAAAAAGGAAACATTCAGAAGAAAGAAACTGAAGTTAGAATAGTACCAGGACTTCTTGAACCTGTTCGATAAATCTTGAACCGGGTCAAGATGGACAGATTCTAAAATCGCCACTCTGGTGAAGTTGAACATAAATCTTGAACCAGTTCAAGTTGAACCTGTTCGATTATTCTTGAGCCAGTTCAAGATGGACCGAATATAAAATCTTGTTCCGAACAAAATGGAAAGTGTAGAATGTGTCCAACCTCTTTTAGAATCCTTCCTAATGTGTTGTTCTTACCTTCTTCAAAAAAAAATCTCAGTTATGGTAACTTTGAACAACCTTTCCTTTTCGCAGTCGCTGTCGATCCAGATATAGTAACTTGAATTTACAACTGACTAGGACTTATTTTGACACCGAAAGTTGCCAATAACAGAATATATATTATTTACAATCTTCCCAAAATATATATCTCACAATTATCTGCCCTTTGTGCCTACATCTGTATTTCCATTCGAAGTTTGAGGTTGCTATGCTATTTATTCAGAACTGCATAATTGGATGAGGTTAATTTCAGTAAATTTGTCCTGAATCCTGCCTCATCAAGATTAATTTTTGTTGACCTGTTGAGTTTAGGCATGCATTTGTGTAGTTAAAACTGTTTTTGAAGAAAATTTTCAGCGAGCAGCCCTTGCTATGAAATTCATGCCAGGAAAAAAGGTATTTTTTTTTTAGTGTTTACAATTTGCTTGTTCGGGTGGTTTCCTAGTGATAGAAATTTTTCCATAAACAAAGCACGGTTCATCCTAATTGTTAGGAAAAAAAAAAGGGTAAATTACATTGACCTCCCCTGAGGTTAGGAGCATGTGTTAAACCCCCCCCCCCCCCCCCCCCCCTCGCTGTTATTTGTCTTCGTTTATGAGATTTTAGAAAATGACTTGGTTGCCCTTGTCCTATGTTAAAAGCCTTTATTAGCCTTCTCTTTTGACATAAAATGACGAAAATACTAGGAAAAATTACACTTACCTCTCTTGTAGGTTGTCTAAATATCAGGAACCTTTACTCTAAATATAACACTGATCTCCCCTTTAGTTCAGGTTTGAGTAACACTAACCTCCTCTGTCATAAAATCTGACAATCTTGTCAAGCTCAATATATACTTAAAACCCGAGAATGCACTTAGAAATTTTTCATTAAAAAACAATGCCATACAAGGAATTTGACTTCAATCTTTTGTTAATCTTTTTAGCATTTGCTTTTTATGAAAGAATATTACATTATTGAAAAATTTACTGTGTATTTATTTGTATACCTCATAAAGTCATATCTAAAATTAGTAAAATATTAAGAATCAATTCTGGTTCACTGAATTTATTTTTAATGGAAATATTGAATTAATATGATTTTCATATTTTGCAGCGAATAGAAATCTATAAACCAAAAATAAAAAATTAGTGAATATAATGAATTAAAAAAATACATTTTGTCATACTGAAAAGTGATGCAAATGGTGTTAGAAAGCTATTTATTTGTTGACAAATTTAGTAATAAAAACATGAATTATGGGAGTGTATTTTTATTTCTCTGAGTCTTGGAAAATTTCATAATAAAAACTGATTGATGTTAAATTCATTCAAATGTTATGGCCAACTTTTTTATTTTTATTTTTTTATGTCTTTAGGTAGAGAACTTCTAAAAAAATATAAAACAAGTAAATGATTATATTGGGAACCTACTTAAATTTTTCCATTTTGGGCTTATACCAAATGAATTGTTAGTATTCGTAGCAGTTATTAGTGAATCGTATGTAAATATGGAGTCCATTTCTTACTACCTATTCCTAGCAGAAGTCATCACCAAGAAATTCACAGACATTTTGATTAATTCCTTCATTTTTGATTCAGCAGAAGAATTGTCATCTAACAAGCTTGACGCAGCTAGTAAGTTCATTTTTATTTTTATTTTCCCTTTACATGATTTTATATACAATGAGATTTAGTGATTTTAAATATTTGTCTGTCTTCAATTTTAGCAGAAGTTAGAAGAACATTACGTGATGCACAGCCATCGCATTACATGTTCAAGATAGAGTCTCTCTCTGTGCTTCTGAAAACGGAAAATGGAAATATTGAATCGGATGTTTTTGAAACTGGTGGCTATAAATGGTGTGTTTATGGAAAAGAAATTTCCTTGCATACTCTTTATTTGTCCATGTCTATGCAACAAAGCTAAATTAATCATCTTTATTTATCTTTGGGTTTTCAGGAAATTATCTTTCTATCCAAATGGGAACAATAAAAGAAATGGGAAAGATCACATTTCACTATTCCTGGCAATATCAGATACAAATAATCTTCCTTCTGGTTGGGAAGTCCATGTGAAATTTAAATTATTCGTCTTCGATCACATACGTGACAATTATTTAACCGTCGAAGGTAGTTTCTCTATTACACGTTAATTTTTTTGAAATCTGCCATAGCAACATAATATTTAAATAGATAGATATGTACATGTGTAGATGCTAAACCAGTACTAAGGCGATTCCACATTATGAAGACTGAATGGGGTTTTGAGAAATTTCTCTCTCTGGAAAAGTTCCAAAATCCTTCAAATGGGTACCTCCTAGATGATACCTGTGTATTTGGAGCGGAGGTTTTCGTTATCAAATTTGCAGGCAAAGGCGAGTGTCTGTCCATAAAGGCATTAAGTGACAACAGTACTTACACTTGGACGGTTGATCATTTTTCAGCATTAAGTAACCAACTTTACTCTGGGGAGTTTAACATTGGAGGACGGAATTGGTACGATTAACATTTTCTGATTTTTTTTATTTTAGTTTTATTTTTTATGATGTCAAATTGAAAAGGCTTGTTAGATCTTCCAGGTGAGGAATTATGTGTCTTTTTACAATGAATTCAGGAAACTTTTGCTCTATCCCAAAGGGCAGGGAGACGATGAAGGCAAAAGCCTATCTCTGTATCTTGCAGTAGCTGATTCTGAAAAAAACTATCTTAAATCCGCCAAACTGTATGCAAAATACAAGCTGAGGATAAGGGACCAAGTCAATGGTAAACACCGTGAAGGGGAAGGTAAGAACTGTTTTTGTTACCCTGACCTGCTTTGGATAAACTTGCTTACTGCTGGAGCTTTTTCTTTTGTAGAGGCATTCAATCTTTTCTTCTTTTATTTTATTTTGTTATGTTAATTTTCCTTCAAAATTCGTCTTTGCAGCTAGTGTCAGGTTTTCTGCCGCGGATTTGAGTTGGGGATTCCAAAGCTTCAAGTCTCTAAGCGAACTCTACGACAAATCAAAGGGCTTCATGGTGAATGATACTGTAATTATTGAAGCAGAATTTACAATGTTGTCTGTGACTAAGAACTTAACATAAAAAGAGTTTCATCATGTCTTCAATGAAAAAGGAACAAGATAACTGGAGGTGGGTGAAGGAACTCCTCAAGTGTCTCTAGTCTTCGTGTACTGAACGTTACGACCCTGCGATTATTTCATTATAGTTATCTCTTTGTTGAAGACGCAACAGCATGTTTGATTTGTGTATTGTTGGTTCAATATGTGAAATTCCAAACATGATGAACAGTGTTTACTGATTTGCTCGGGGTACTCTTCCAATGATAAATAATATAGAACTTAGGTTCGGTTTGTTTTGCTGTAAAATATTTTTTTTAGAAAATAATTTTTTTTCAGATAAAATATTCTTTTATTTTTACTTTGTTCGTATTTGGCAAAGATAAAATATTTTTTTGAAATCTGTAATATTTATCTAGATAGACATGTATATGTGTAGATGCTGAACCAGTAAGGCGATTCCATGTGATGAAAACTGAATGGGGTTTTGAAAATTTTGTATCTTTGGAAACGTTACAAAATCCATCAAATGGGTACCTCGTAGATGACAACTGTGTATTTGGAGCTGAAGTTTTTGTTATGAACATTTACATCCCAAATAGCAAACAAAGTAAGACATAGTAATTTTATTAATTCCTAAAATCAAGGGACCAGATGGTAATTTTATTGGCTGGGAGTATTATATAACCGCAACTTGAAGTATTAAATATTTTTTTCTTCAATGCAGGCAATGGCTATGTTTGGAATAATTGAATTGGTGTTTTTATTTTTTAATAAATGATATTGAATGAACAATTTAAGAAGCAACATAATGAAAACTTATTATTATTATTTATTTATTATTGTTTTATTGATAAGAAATACCCCCAACTTCTGGACCTTCTCATTTAAAGGGGGTGGAAGTATCATTAGGTTACACAGACTTTAGTGAAAATAATGAAAACTTATTAAAGTGTCTTTCTTAGTACTAATAAATTTACAATGAGAAAATTTAAAACATTATAAAAGAAAACTCCTGAAAAAAAAAATGAAAATGAAAAAAGGAAAAAGAAAACTCCAACAGGAATATAATTTGCAGAATAAAACACAAAAAAATGAAGACATATATAAGCCTTGAGAATGCACATCAAGGGGCATTATCCAGTAGCCTCTCTCCGAGTGGGAGTGGGTGTGCGTTATTCTAAATAAATTTTCAATAAAGTAAATTTCATTTAGACCTCAGCAGATCTGTCTATACTTCAATTAGGTCTTTCTGATTTTCATATTTTCATTAGACTCTTTTGAGAGGTTGTTGGCTTACTGACTTAATAAAAGGAATGAAAATGACTAATCTATCTCATTGTTGTTTTATTAATATACTCTTAACATGTTAGGACAATTTGCACATTAAAAATTATTTTCGGATCATGTCAGGAAAAAAAAAAAAAACATATTGGAACATGTTTGACATTAGGAGAATGATGTATGTCAGAAAAAATAGGTTGGCAGTTGACACTGATATATAGACAAACATCAAAGGGTCTAAATGAATTTTACCCTAAAGATATTGTTTCAAGTAATAATGACTGTCCAATTTATATGGAACAAAAATTAAAAATTGCAATGGAGACAAGAGTCTCCACATCCACTCCTCTCAAAAGATTTATAATAATAAAAAGATTAACTGCAAAAACTCCTCTCAATTTTCACATTTTTGCATATACGTACCTTTTAGTGGTGTGCTTAATCGCTCAACTGTTTGAAAATTGCATCTTATTCTCAATTCGTTAACATACATTTATTTTCAATTTTACCTCTCAAGAAATGAAAATAAATTGTAAAATTACAATAGAACCTTGATGACAAAAAATTAGAACTCTCTCTTGATTTTACGTCACTAATAATGAATCACAAACAAAAGGGGTATCTGCATATTTTTGGAATAATATAAGGGAGTTTTGTGCAAAAATGAAAGTTTTTTTTTTTTTTTGGTCATTTACCCAACTTTCCAACCATTTTTTAATTATTAAAGGCTAAGCAAGATTTTGAAAGATCTGATAGTACAATTTATTAATTCCTTAAAACAAAAGTATTGATTAAATTAATAATTGTAAATTGTCCCAACAAGTGGTGGGCGTCCACATGATGTGCTTATTCCTGTATCAGGTGCCTCTCTAGTTGCAATTAGAAAGAGAATGATTGATTGTTACAAGGCTTATATTATTGATTGAATTGGATTAAAATATGAAGAAGTTTAATATTTTTCGTTATTTTTACTTTACAAAAATTACTAAAACTATGTTAGGTGGTTAACTACTTTTTTAGGGGCGAAAAATATCACTAAACTATAATATTTCTTGATGCTCTTTCTTAAATTCTCTAAATCTTTTCTAAAACATGACAGAAAATATGATCTAAACAAGCATGGAAGAGAAAATACTAAGCAGGTCTTTGATACTTGAAGAAAATCCTAAAATTAACGGCGTTGGCATTGGCAAAGAAGCGAGTGGTTCGTCCACCACCACGGCGGTGGTTCTCCTCAGCATCTTTGTGGCTGCGTCTGGTTCCCTCGCTTTATGGGTGTGCTGTAAGTGGCCATTGATGCATCATGTATGTAGGGATGGATGATCATTTCTAATTGGTTTGATCTTTTGTTGCTAGTGGGATTTAAAGCATGATGTACATTAAATGATTGGTTCTCCTACCACGTTCACATTTGTTTACGTGTTAAATTTTTCTACAATATGTTTTGTAATTCAATATTTGATTAATACTTGATTCAAAGTCACCAAGCTCTTGAATGTATAAGGCCACGCTTTAATTAATTTAATTAAAGCAAAATAGATGGATGAAATGTTGCCATAAATTTAAAAATATTAAAATATATACACATAAATAGAGTACTATTAAGAGCAGGGGTCATCATTTCTGGTGCAGATGCCTCAGTTAGCCCAGTGGTCGATATCTTCGGTGAATTTTGAAAGTGTCAAGTTTGGACTTCTTACACTTACTAATCTAACTTCTAATCATTCATATCTTAAAATAAAAAATAAAAATCATTGTAGTCTATAGTATTTTTAATTTTTATATAAGTTTTTTCAATTTTTTACTTTTAAATTTCTTAATATATAACTAATTCCACCTACAAAATAAGTGAGTATGTAAGTATATTTTTTACAAATAAAAAATAAATTAATTCACTTTAATTCTCAAAAAAAATATTAATCACCCCACATAATCATGGAAAGATATAGTTTTTTCTTTTTTTCTTTTTTTTTTTTAATTACGAATCTATCCTTTAACACACCACTTCTGAGATTTTTTTTTATGTTTTTATGAGGGGAGTAATTTATCAATTTACTCTTTAAAAACACCCAGTTTTCAGTAAGGGCGTTGTTGTCATTTGGGGCTGCGGTTCAATGTCTAGCCGGCATCATCCATTGTTTCCGGCCAAGCATCTCCGCCGGCGTCTTTTATTGTTTCCTGCCTAGCTTCCTTTTGGCTGCATTGTTCATTTTTTCTGGTCAAACATTATTCTTTCCGCGTCGTCCATTATTTCCGGCCAAGCATGCATGGCCTTCATCGTCCATGGTTTACGATGCCGTCAGACGTTATCCGGGCGCCAAATCATGCAGTGAACATCGTCTCCACTCAACAAGAAGTCGTTCGAATAGTGATCATTGTAAAGCTGTTTATCTCACTGAATGGCCTCAGCTTTCCAGGGAAGAAAATTGATTTTTGGTAGAATTTCTTTAGCCCCACTTGTTTATAAACATCAAAAAGGAAAATAAATAGAAAAACAAAAACAAAAAGGTCCATCAATTTGGATAACCTAATTAACGATTGAGATTATATATGTTAATGGAGCTGAGCACCAGGTGTTTGATTAATTGACATCTAACTAGTCAGTGGTGTATGTTTGCTTTGTAGGTTGGATATTCATCTTCTGCTGAGTCTGGTATCATGAATGACCTAGGCCTCTCTACTGCAGAGGTAATTACTTATCAATTTGCCTTTTCTTATAAAAGATTTGGGGTGTACCAATCTCTTGTTTTAGGAAACATGGTATTACTAAAATGGGTTGCACATACATGAATGGTTTCAGGACTGTAATCATTCCTGTTGCATTGCAGGATTTTTTTTTTTTTTTTTAAAATGTACGTCATTTGTGAGGAAAAATTTTCATTACCGGTAGCTTGTCAAGTTGACATGAGACTCTGTGAAATGCAATGTAACACACTTCAGCTGAACATTGTAACCATACAAACAACATATCCAAAATTTAACTGATAATAACTGTATAACGAAAAATAAGTTTTAACTTGGGGTTTCGACAAAATCCAATGGTTTTCCGATGCCATTAGAGGGCCAGCATTTCAATTGATAGGAACCAAGGGGCCTATAGAATTATTCATGTTTTTTTTCAAATTTTTTAGTAAGGATAAGATATGTTTAACGTCTGACTCTATAGAACATGAATATAGTTGAGGCTTTGGGACATAACAATTAACTGGACGGTGTTATTTGCCGTGTTGAAGAGAAATTAACTAAAAGTTCAAGCTCTATTTATCACTACTACTTGAATTGGAATACTAATTGTACAGAGCCAATTGATATTGAAGAAACTCGTTTAGACATCAGAATCAATAAGTATATTAGATTGTTTCATGTCAATAGAAGTTATATGCTTCAGTTCCAGAGGGAATTCAAGGCAAAACGGATTTGCTAAAATTCTGTTTACTTCATGTATCTGGAGGATGTGGTGGAATAGGAATCAGGTCCTTCATGATGGTTATGGCCAAGATCCAATTCAGTGTGCTAAATCAGTTGCTTTTGAAACCCTTGAAGTGTTAAAGCTGAATTTGAAGGATACTCGTGACCATGTGGAGGAGTAGATCTATAGGGGAATATGATTTCTTTGTAGGATGGTCAGATTTCTTTATTGCTTGTTATCTTTGGGTTCGCTGTTTGTGGTTCCTTGTATTTGTTGTTGGTTAGGTTGGTGATTAATTCCTTGTATTTGTGGTTCCTTGTATTTGTTGTTGGTTAGGTTGGGGGGGGGGGGGGGGGGGGGGGAATATTATGCTTTTTTGTTTGATAGATTTTGTTTATTCTCTTTCCTCTTTGTGCAGTACTCAGTTTTCGGATCAACATTGACAATAGGAGGAATGTTAGGTGCAGTAATAAGTGGAAAAGTTGCAGATCTCATTGGCCAGAGAGGTGTAAGTTTTTTATTTCTTTTTCTTCCTACACTTCAGATGCCTCCAGGCATAGTATAAACTCTTGTTACAATCACTATACAAATTCTTTTATTTTGGTTGATGTTGTTATACAGGCTATGTGGTTCTTGCAAATATTTTGTATCGTGGGGTGGCTTTTAATAATTTTCGCAAAGGTTTATTACACTTGTTTCCTTCCCACAACCATAATTTAATTCATTTATACTTCATTCAACAGCCAAGAGCAACTATTCATACTGCAAATGTTATATGTCTTCACACATCCTAGCAATCAAGGGGCTTTTGAGGTGTCCATAAAGCAACTTCATAAGAATTGACTTCCCAGGGAAACCAAGTAAATTTACGAAAAACTTCTAAGTGATCCTATTTTCATTTTTGTTCTGTTCAACTTATGGGATCATTCTTCACCTTGATTTTCATTTTTAAAGATGACAGAACTAAAAAGTAGTAATATTATAACAATTTTTTTATGAAGTTGCCCGAGAAAGATATTAAGTTATATGTATTTTGACTGTTCATAAGAGCATCTAAACCAAAAAAAAAATTGAAGAGAGTGAGTTATTGTTCAGTCAATCTAAATCAACTCAGTAGGATTTTGTTTTTCAAATTTTTTTTTTGGATGGCATGATTGATATTAATTGTTTAGTGCTTGTCAAAAGGGAGCTTGGTGGCTTGATATTGGAAGACTATCATTGGGAGTTGGAATCGGGATTAATTCTTATGTGGTAAGTATTGCAGATTATTGATTTCTTTGTCCATGTATCAGCATAATCTGGCTTACATTCAGATGACCAAACAGACAAGCATATATATAGCAGAAGTCACACCTAAGAATATTCGAGGAGGATGTTCATCATTTAATCAGGTAAATCAAAATTAACATAAATTTTGATTAAATAATCAACTCGTGTCATATGTTTTCACGATTCTGCAGTTATCAAAATTTTTTGGCCTGTCACTGATGTTTTTTGTTGGAAATGTGATTACTTGGCGCTTCTTGGCTTTAATAGGTACCTTGCTTCACATTTGTATTGTTTAGTACTGTCTGAAGGTAGTTCCATTAATATGAGCCTGCATTTTGTTTAATTTTAGGAATAGTACCATGTCTGGTACAAGTTGTTGGTTTGTTCTTCATACCAGAGTCTCCCAGATGGTTGGTGAGTTCGATTCAAAATTTGATCTTGTTACTTAGGTGGTGTTACATGGATTTGTTTTTAGTCCAAAAGAGTGAAGTAAAATTGAAAAGAAAAATGGATTGCTCAATTTTTTGTTAAACGGAATTATTTTAAGGCTTTTTTAAATGGCTCATCATTTAAAAGTGCTATTAGAGGAATTCTTAGTTTGAACATTAACAGTTATACACACACATACAAACATTTTTGTGATTCCTTTGAACCAAAGCATGTTAAAACAATGAAACCTAATCTAACAAGACAATTTCGGACATATCATTTTTGTTCTCTTTTCTATTTTTCAAATAGAGCTAATTCAGCAAAACACATGAACGAAACTTATCTTTGAATGCTAAACTGATGAATGCAGTTTTGTTTGCAGGCAAAGATTGGTAAAGAGAGAGAGTCAGAAGCGACTCTGCAACGTCTGAGGGGTGGAAAATGTAATATTTCTCAAGAAGCAGCTGAAATCAAGGTAACATTTGAACTTCACATTTTAATTCAAAAGTCGCTGTCTAGAAGAAGAAAATTAATGCTTTCCTTTTATTTTCCCTATTTCCAAGAACACCTTTGATAAACAAAATAAGTTGTCATTTTACAGGATTACACAGAAATTCTTCAAGGACTCTCACAATCCAGAATTTTAGACTTGTTTGAGCGGAGATATGCTCACTCCCTCATTGTAAGCCTCAGAAATAATTGTGACTTGTTACTTTTTCGACAATTTTTCTGACCTCTCATGAATACAACAAATTGCACCAGGTTGGAGTCGGGCTAATGGTACTGCTAGAATTTTGTGGGAGCCGTCCAATTGCATTTTATGCAAGTTCTATTTTTGAAGCTGCTGGTAAATTAAGGATCTTTAGTAATTTCGTTAAGTAATTATTGAATTGAAAAAACTAGTTTGAAGAATGAATATCTGAACCTATATCTCTTATCTGATAGGTTGCTCGGCTAGTGTTGGCACTACAGTAATTATTGAATTGAAAAAACTAGTTTGAAGAATGAATAGCTCACTGCCATATTGATTCTGAGTGGCTTACTGGTACCATTTCTAATCAAATGATAATTCTATCCTCTGTTTCGACATATATATTCTAGCAGGAAAAATCTAATTGAAGATTTTGGTTTTACATTTGTGTTAACTTTACCTAGGAAAAAAAAGTACTGCTTTCACATTTTCTCACATTCCCTCACAACCTCCTCTAATGTTGGGGTCTAAATGAGTGTATGCAATGCTCTGCTCATTTTGTAAAACTGCAAATGACCATAGTTACCTCCCATAGTCCATATACATTCGCATAAATTCTTGTGATTTTTTATGTGTTTTTTTTTTTACCACGTCAAATTTAAAGTAAAATATCCTGAAGCTTGCTAGTCATTTATTTCTTTTCGTTTTATCCTTAGCCAAATTATAACATGTTGATGGAACAAATTGATATACGTGTATGTGCATGTCTCCTGATTTTGCAACAAAGTTATTTTTTGCTGCTTATTCAACAGGCCTGGGTGGTACACCATGGATTATCATGTCAGAGGTAGTTTGCCTTCGTTGGCCATTTCCTCTAAACGTAGGGTTCAGCTGGAAGCTTGGTGACTTTTGTGTACTGGTTCTGTTCTTGGATTGTTTCCTACACTTTTGACTTCATATTTGAATGGAGCTCAGCAGGTGATGCCTCCCTCTCCATCTCTCTCCGTTTGTGTATTTGTTACATGGTTACTAATAAGGCCGCATTGGTTTAAGAGTATTCTTCATGTTCACAACCATTTGCGGTTTAGTTGCTCTATTTGTTGCAAGAGTGGTGCCAGTCTGCCAGAGACAAAAGGACGAACATTGGAAGAAATACAAGCATCCATGATTGATGTCATTCAATGATATACTGTTACGAAAACTAAATAGATGTGATAATGTTTCCATCTTTTTTGTGATTTCCATGATGAACCTACTTGGGGTTCTTGTATCTATATGGTTGATAGTTTGAGTGCACGTACATTTAGGGACAATCACTCCTTCCCTCCATTGTTCCAAATTAGAATTGTTTGATTAACAGCAGTGTACAACTTCAGCACCTCAGTACTAATAGTAATAGTTGGGAAAAGGCTTTATTTTGATCGACTTTCTTGTACACTTAAAATTATTGTTAGTTTATCATCGTGGAATTAGAAATTCCTTGCTTTTAAGAGGCAAATTTACCTACGGTTCTTGAAAACAAAAAAGGTTGTTGCGAGTACTTATTCGCCTTTTAAAATAGAAGGATGAAGATTTAAGACCTCCTAGAGGGGCATGTGGTTGTGTGAATATGTTTCTTGCCAACAAAAAAAAGGTTTCAAATTTATATTTTAATCAACACGGGCTGCTTGCAATCTCTAAGACATTTATGCAGAGACGAGAGTGAACTTGAAGTTGAAGAGATCCTTATTGGACATTGCTAAAAATGCAACAATCACCACACATGTTGCCCCATTACACCAAATTTGACGGAGCATCAAAAGGATTCTGTGAATCTAAATATATAAAGCTTTTGTTCAGTATCTATTTTAAATTTAAAATTAAAAGAAAATTAGTTCAAAATTTAACAAAAAATTAATTTCAGCAATTTTGAAGTCACAATTGCAAATGTAAAGTAATTGCATTACCCCTTCAGTATCCATGGACCTAGTGTTTTAAATTTAAAATTGAAAGAAAATTAATTCAAAATTTAAAAAAAAAATTTATTTTCAGCAATTTTGAAGTCACAATTGCAAATGTAAAGTAATTACATTGCCCCTTGATGTAAAGAAATCGTTATATTATAAATTTGTAACAAATATCAACAGTAAGAAATTTCAATTCATGTGATTTGGTTATCGGCTCTCTCATGAAAATTGACATAATGTAACAAAAATGTACAATCACCTTTTTCTAATCAAGCTTCTCCTAAAGTCCATTTCTAATCAATGCATACTGATGCGTAAAAATAGAATTCACCAAACCTGTTTGACATCAGGCATTGTGGTGCCCGAGTAGAATGGGCCAAACACTGAAGGTGGTCTCCACCCTACTAACCCTCTAACTATCGCCGTTTTCAAAAAATAAAAAATAAAAAAATAAATAAAAAAAAAATGGCGTTTGATCCAACATTTAGTCTAAAAAAAACATATACGGAGTACTGACTTTTTTTATATGAACATGTCATGTAGTACTAAAAATATTGCAATCTTTCGTGACCGGGGTCTACTTTTTGTCCAGTCTAGACGAAAGTCGTTTGGCCTTTTACTACAGAATCCAAGGTTCAACGCACTAAGACACACAAATTAAAAGCACACAGTAATGAAAGCTAAAGCACTGTATAGGCCAGAAAAATCAGCATGGTGTAAAGGTGGTCCACATGTCATTAATTTAACAAGAGAGCGACAAACTACCCTTAATTGAGACGTGGCAAACATCCGACAAACTACCCTTAATTGAGACGTGGCAAACATCCAACGGTGGATATTCATATAAGATCACAATCTTGATTTAAAAGCCCGTATCAAATCACATCATCTCACCGACAAGGACACAAATTTAATTTGTGAGATTAAATTAATAAACGGGATTTATTGATGATGATATAATCTCACTTACTGAATTATGTGTAAAAGAGGTCTAACGCTAGAGAGGATTTTTGCCCGATCTCACCACCACAACATCCGCCCACCCATCCCTATTGCCTTCTCCTACAATCCCTCAACACCTCTTTAGTTCCATGGCTAGCTTCAACTTCATCATTAGTTAGTCTTTCCGTGATTGAATATGCGTTGAAATAGAATTCACCAAACCTGTTTGACATCACACATTTTGGTGATCGAGAAGAAAGGGCGAAACACTTGAGGTGCTCTTCACCCTATTCTTGAACACTCAAAATTATTGTGGAAATAGAAATTCCTTGCTTTTAAGAGGCAAAATTACCTGTCTTTCAAAAAAAAAAAAAAGTAGTTGTGACCACCTCATCGCTCCTAGAAGGACTTGTAGCGGTGTGTGTTTATTAGCAATGAAAAAAAAAAAAAAAAAAAAAACAGAAGAAAAAAGTACCCTTGTTTCAAATTTATATCTTAATAAATACGAGTTGCTGACAATCTCTAAAGACATTTATGCTGGAAGAGAAGAGAGTGAACTTTGAATTGAAGAGGTCCTTTATTGGACATCGTTAAAAATACAACAATCACCACACATGTTGTTCCACTACACCAAATTTGATTAGAGCATCAAAAGGATTATGTGAATCTAAATATATAAAGTTTTCGTTCAATATATATGGACCTAGTGTCTTAGAATTAAAATCAAAAGAAAATTAGTTCAATTTTTTTTTTTTTAAATATTTTCTGCAATTTTAAAATCACAATTTGCAAATGTAAAGTCATTGCATTACCCTTGATATAAAGAAATCGTTATATTATAAATTTGTAACAAATATCTACAGTAAGAAGTTTCAATGCATGTGATTTGGTTATCGGCTCTCTCATGAAAATTGGCATATTGTAATAAAAATGTACCATCACCTTTTTCTAAATCTTTTGGGTCGAAATTAAGCTTCTCCTAATGTCCATTTCTAATCAATACATACATTCTTTTTAATTTCAATTTCATCAACAACATATACACTGAATATAGTATATATAGAGAGAGGGCAGCAATTAAAGTGCAATAGAATTAAACGGTATAATTGTCAATATACAAAGTATCAATAAGGTAGCAAATATTAAATAGGGTATCAAAAAAAAAAAAAAAAAACTTTATTCAAGGTGTCTTATACGGCCGGAAAAAAATAAAATAGAGCATTCAACAACAATCAAGTAACTACCCTTCTCAACTAAGTTTCCTCTCTTACCTGAGTCACGTTGATAATCAGATCATGGGTGTTGTGGATCTTAATTATAAGAAAATAGAGTTAAGTGGGACCCAACATGGGTCCCACTTAAATGCATATTTCTACTTTCAGAGGAGCTCAGAGGATTTGTGTGGAGCAATCTGGACCTTAGCTTTAAAAGGTTTTTCCATTTTTAGTTTCACTGCTAATAAGTCAATAAACTCTTTATCCAAACTCTTCTGTCGGTGTCCTGAACTAAGCAATTAAGCATGGAAGAGGAACTACTAACAAGGTTTTTGATTCTTGAAGAAAACCCTGAAATTAACGGCATTGGCGGCGACGTAGAAGTTAGTGGTTGCTCCGCCACCACCACAGCGGTGGTTGTCCTCAGCGTCTTTGTGGCTGCCACCGGTTCCTTCACTTATGGGTGTGCTGTAAGTGGTTTTTAACCATCTGTTATTGAGTTTGTTTACTTTCAATCTTTGATATATTTTAGGGGAAAGTCTACAAAACACCCTATGGTTTTGATTTTGTGCGAATTATACCCCTATAATTTATTTTGTGTATAAATTCAATGTCAAAATGTTGCAAGGAAGGACACCGATCAACTTTCCGGTGATAAAGGGTCGTTGAATAGTCACGTGCCGGACACGTGATTATTTTTAGAGCTGAAAACTCCAAAATAACCTTTATCAATCCCAAAAGTACATCGCCACCGCCACAACCGGGGACTCACAGGCCCAAATTGTCAACTAAATCGGCGGACTGATTGAAGACCCAATAGCAAATATAGAGAAAGCTTCATCTTCGGTGTACTTCAGTGGGTGCGAACTCCGGCGAAGACTGAAGACATACCCATTCCGGTGACGGGGACACAACCGCGAGCTCCAAAACTACATCTATTGCTCGGGGGACGGTGATTGAACCAGCGCACTCCAGTTCAGAAGTATCCAACTTTTTCGGTGATCTTCATTCTGCAGCAACAAGTCCGGCGAGCTGCAATCAAAGACCGAACAACCCCAGCGTGTCTTAGTTAAGGTGAACCACAGTTCCGGTGACAGAAATCCGGCAAGCTAGGAGTGCAATTTCAGCGAAACCCAGAACAATGAGACCCATTTTGAGGGGGTTTTTTTTCACGCGACCCTATATTTTATATATATATATATATATATGACTCTTTGTGTTACCAGACCTAAAATAATTTTTTTATTAGTAAACTTTTCTTTTCCGGAAGTTTAATTTTTTAAGATGATAAATTTAAGTTTTTTATTTTAATTTTTATTATAGTGGTAATAAATGAATTATTAAAATATTCATATGGGTCCACTTAGATGTGATTAGTGGGGCCCCAACCAGTTGTTGTAGTGGAATTGATTTTGGTCTGGACTCAGTTCACACGTGTTAGGCAAGCCGAAACCCAACCCGAACCCGCCCAGAATATGTTAAACGGAGGAACCGATTAGATGTAACACACACACACACACATATATTTGTAGTGCTTGCATATGATTTGTATTGCTTACATATTGAGGTGAAGTATATAGGTATAGTTGTCTCACAGTAGAGAACCTAATTAACAATTGAGCTGAGCACCAGGTGTTTGATTAATTGACTTCTAAACTGGTCGGGGTGTATGTTTGCTTTGTAGGTTGGATATTCATCTCCTGCTGAGTCTGGTATCATGAATGACCTAGGCCTCTCTACTGAAGAGGTAAATATTGGGGGTGTACTAATCTCCTGTTGTAGTAAACATGGTATTAGTTAAAAGGGTTGCTCTAGTAAACATGACTAGTTATAGTACTTTTGAAGATGGTTTTGTTTATTAAAAATTTGACCATGCATTGTTCCACCACTGTGAGCATTCCTGTCACGGTACATTGCTGAATTTAAATAACATATATATGTTATTTTTGAGGGAAAAAATTCATTACCGTCGCTTGTAAAGGTGAGAGAGATACTGAAATGCTATGTAACACACTTCAGCAGAACATTGTAACCATATAAACTGAAGATCCCGAATTTAACTAATGCTTAATAACTGTATAATGAAAAACAAGTTGAAACTTGTGGCTTAGAGAAAATCCAATGTTATGCATTTTCGATGCCATTATAGGGCCAGCATTTCAATTGATGGGAAGCAAAGGGGCTATAGAATTGTTCCATTTCATTGCTAAAGTGAATTTTCTAAAAGTTCAAGCTCTCTTTGTCAGTGCTACTTGAATGAATACTTGTACATTCTACATAGCCAATCGATATGAAGATACTGGTTGAGACAATGAAGTGAAGCAGTGCATTAGATTGTTTCCAGTCAATAGGAGTTATACGCTTTCCTATTTGATTGATTTTGTTTATACTCTTTCCTCTTTGTGCAGTACTCATTCTTCAGTTCAATATTGACAATCGGAGGTATGTTCGGTGCAATAATAAGTGGAAAAGTTGCAGATCTCATTGGCCGGAGAGGTGTAAGTTTTTTTTTTTCCTTTCTTTTTCATCTCACCCTTCAAATGTTTCTCGGCTTTGTATAAACTCTTGATCCAATCACTATACCAATTCTTGAATTTTGGTTGATCTTGTAATACAGGCTATGTGGTTCTTGCAAGTGTTTTGCATCATGGGGTGGCTTGCAATAATTTTCGGAAAGGTTTATTACACTTATTTCCTTCTCACAACCACAATTAATTCATCTGTACTTCATTCAACAGCCAAGAGCAACAATTCATACTGCAAATGTTATATGTTTTCACACATCTTAGCAATCAAGGGGCTATTAAGGTGTCCATAAAGCAACTTCATAAGAATTGACTTCCCAAGGAGCCAAGTGCGATTATGAAAAAGTTCTAAGTGAACCTATTTTCATTTTTGTTTTTGTTTTGTTCAACTTACATGCTGGGATCACTCTTCAACTTGATTTTCATTTTAAAAGATGACAGAACTAGAAAATTGCTACATTATAAGTAACATTTTTGTGAAGTTGCTTGAGAAGATATTAAGTGACATATATTTTTCATTTTTTTGGATGCCATGATTGATATTAATTGTTTAGTGCTTGTCAAAAGGGAGTTTTGTGGCTCGACATTGGAAGACTATCATTGGGAGTTGGAGTTGGCATTAATTATTATGTGGTAAGTGTTGCAGATTATTGATTTCTTTGCCCATGTATCAGCATAATCTGGCTTACACTCCCATGGCCAAACAGGCAAGCATATATATAGCAGAAGTCACACCAAAGAATATTCGAGGAGCATGTTCATCATTTAATCAGGTAAATCAAAATTAACATAGAACAAAATTATCATAAATTTGGATTAAAGAATTAACTCTTCTGTTATATGTTTTCGCGATTCTACAGTTATTAAACTCTTTTGGCATGACACTGATGTTTTTCATTGGAAATGTCATGACTTGGCGCTTCATGGCTTTAATAGGTACCTTGCTTCACTTTTATATTGCTTAGTACGGTCTGAAGGTCGTTCCATTAATACGAGTTTGCATTTTTGGTTTCAATTTTAGGAATTTTACCATGTCTGTTACAAGTTGTTGGTTCATTCTTCATACCAGAGTCTCCAAGATGGTTGGTGAGTTCGATTCGAAATTGTGTTACATGGATTGTTTTTAGTCCAAAAGAGTGAAGTAAAATTGAAGAGAAAAATAGAGTACTCAAATTTTTGTTAAACGGAAATATTTTAAGGCTTTGTTAAATGACTCATGATTTAAAAATGCTCTTAGTGGAATATTCTTAGTTTGATCATTAATGGTTATACACACACATTTTTCTTCTTTTTGAACCAAATCATGTTTAAACAATGAAACCTAATTTAACAAAACAATTTCTGACATTTGATTTTTCTTCTCTTTATATTTTTCAACTTGAGCTAATTCGGAAAAACACATAAAGAAACATATCATTTTTACACTGATTAGTGCAATTTTGTTTGCAGGCAAAAATTGGTAGACACAGAGAGTCGGAAGCGACTCTGCAATGTCTGAGGGGGGAAAATTGCGATATTTCTCAAGAAGCAGCTGAAATCAAGGTAACATTTGAACATCAAATGTTAATTCAAAATTCATTGTCTAGAAGAAGAAAATTTATGCTTTCCAAGAACATCAACGATAAAAAATATAAGTCCTTGTTGTTTTACAGGATTACACACAAATTTTTCAAGGACGCTCACAATCCAGAATTTTAGACTTGTTTGAGCGGAGATATGCTCACTCACTCATGGTAAGCATCAACATTAATCCTAATTAATTGTGGCATGTTACCTTTTCCACAACTTCTCTGACATCTCAGGAATACAACAAATTGCACCAGGTTGGAGTTGGGCTAATGTTACTAGTACAATTTGGTGGGAGCAGTCCAATTGCATTTTATGCAAGTTCTATTTTTGAAGCTGCTGGTAAATTAAGGATCTTTAGTAATGCCATTAAGTAATTAATGAATTGAAAAGAGCTAATTTGAAGAATATCTGAACCTATATCTCATATATTGTAGGTGGCTCCACTAGTGTTGGCACTAAAGCAATGGCTATCATTCAGGTTCTTAACTCTTTGTGTAATATGAATGTTGGATTTTATTTGAGTCACTTCCTAGATGATGTTAATATTCTTTTGCAGATTCCATTTTCCATTTTGGGTGTACTCTCAATGGACAAATTTGGACGGCGACCACTTCTGATGGTTAGAGTTCGAAAGAGAAATTTTTTTTTTTTTTTGGTATTTTAATGTAGTTGATAGATGAGGCGTCAATGAGGCGTCACTGAAGTCTTTGTAGGTTACTGCAGCTGTAGCATGCTTGGGAACCTTTCTTGCAGGACTTGCATTCCTCTTGCAGGTTTGTTTAAAACTATACACCTTAATATTTCTATGTTCAAAGATAATTATCTCCTAAAACATGGATTTAACACTACCAGGATTTTCATCAACAGACGGAGCTCACTGCCATATTGGTTATGATTGGCTTACCGGTACCATGTCTAATCAAATGATTTTGGTTTTACTCTGTTTCGGCATACATGAAAGCAGAAAAATTCTTGTTGAAGATTTTTGTTTTATGTTTGTATTCACTTTACCATGAATTTTGGGGCCTAAATGAGTGTATGCAATGCTTTGAGCTTATTTACCATGTCGAAATGGAAGTAAAATAGGCCAAAGCTTGTTAGTCATTTATTAACTTTTTGTTCTGTCTTAGCAAAATTATAACATGTTGATGGAACAAATTGAGATTTGTCTGTGTTTATGTGCATACGTCTCCTGATTCTGCAACAAGATATTTTATGCTGCTTTTTCAATGGGCATGGGTGGTACACCTTGGGTTATCATGTCAGAGGTAGTATATCTTCGTTGCCCTGAACTCTATTTTGGTTTTTAGAATTGCTAACCACAGTATGGCAAAAAGTACTGTCATACCTGATATATTTGATGCTATTTCAGATATTTCCTATAAACATAAAGGGTTCAGCTGGAAGCTTGGTGACTTTCGTCTACTGGTTTTGTTATTGGATTGTTTCCTACAGTTTCAACTTCATATTTGAATGGAACTCAGCAGGTGACGCCCCCTGTGTGTGTGTGTGTGTGTGGGTGGGTGTGTGTTTTTTACATAATACTAACAAGGCCATACTGGTTTAGGAGTGTTCTTCATGTATGCAACCATTTGCGGTTTAGTTGTTCTATTTGTTGCAAGAGTGGTCCCAGAGACAAAAGGACGAGCATTGGAAGAAATACAAGCATCCATGATTGGTCTCGTCCAATGAGATACTACAGCTAAAACAAAATAAATGTTATAGTGTTTCTATCTTTGTTTTTTGTGATTTCCATGGTAAACATAGCAACGACATAATTTCTGTTACATTATTCTAGCAAATGGCCATCCATATTTTGCTAGATATATAAAGTTACGTGCTGTAAATTTGATGCTCCACACACACGCCTGAGAGATGAATATAATTCTTGTCCATAGAGCATACTACTAATATGTTGACAGTTCGTTCACTTTTCTGTACTTCATTTCAATGCCCATAATAATGGATATTCAAGCATATTGACTATTCTTTCATCCATGCGTCTAAGTCTGTAAGCTTGATTTTTTCCAGAATATGTATAGTTTACGCTCTTCTATTAGTGCGGCTTCAGCCTTCTCCCTTGCTCGCTCACAAGTTTCAACTCCTGCATTGCACTTTCCACTTCTGTGATAGTGTGAAGAGATATTCTCGTATCATTTATCAATTCATTTGTAATGTTACCTTCATTTCTGTAAAAATAGATGTAACTATGTTGAAATGCAGAATAAATGTATTGAATACTGATATAAGCGCGTTAAAAAATGCCACAGCAGAGGATCCGGGCTCGAATCTCATATATTTCTGTTTCCACTTTGGATTGTTTCAGGAGATTTGTTCTCGTTTTCAGATTTGTCTTTATGTTTGCGTCTACTTGTTTTGTTGAAGTTATATCATAATATCCAAATCTTTCTGTCCACCACATACTTTAAAAAGCAGTGAATCATCGGAAGCTCTCTTTGGATTTTGATTCAAATTCAAATCCAACCAGAAGATGAAATGTTGAAAAGCCCTGCAAAAAGTGAGATTAGAGTGAAAATGCTGAAACAATTAGCATATGCATACACCAGAAAAGTGATTAAAAATGTTGACTAAACTTTATACTAGAAGATTCATAAACCAAGAGAAACAAAGCCCATATCATGTTTATATAATAGCATCACCTTAGGGTGCTTAGAGTTATGTGATTGGACTAATTGAGTTGAAAGAGTAATCAACACAAGGGTTTTAATCTTAAGGTGGGTTAGCCATAGAGCTAATGGGACTGCTCATCATAAACAAAAATATTTTTTTTAAAAAGAAAATTGATAAAGTGATCTCACGTGAGTTTTGAGCTCTCACCCATTTGATCAAGTCAATCCGATAAATAAGGAGCGAGCCTATCATGAGAGTGCCTCCATCCTAGAGCTACTCAAAATAAATATAATAATTGAATTACATAACGGTAAGGGTGAAGTGCAAAAAAAAAAAAAAAAACCCTATAATTTTAAAAGCGTGCAAAGAATACCTTTCGTGTCCAAATTCTTTCTCCATGTAAAGTGATCATATAAGGGCTTCTGACATTAAAAAAAAACAAAAGGCATCGTATGACCTCAAAACTCTCTTTAATGCCAAAATTATACCCTTTGTATCTTCCAAATTTGCCCCTTCCTCAATTCTTGTATATTAACCCATCTCTCTCTCTCTCTCTTTCTCTCTCTCTCGATCTCTCAAAGAGCCCATCCATCTTACACTTCTTCCAATATACTATCTAAATATACGATGAATTCATAATCAAACTATTAGAGCTATTTGAAAATCTAAGAAGTGGTTTCAGTTTAATTTAATTTAATTTAATATTATTATACCAGTTGACAGAAAACCATCAATGGAATAGTTCGAAAAAAAAATTTTGTTCTTTAGATATAAATATATGATGCATTAACCAGTTGACAAAAAATTCTAATGGTTCACTTAAATTCTGATTTAAATTAACTTCAGTTGGAAGAATGAACTCTTAAATCAAGAAGTTAAACCCAAAAAAAAAAATGTAGAAGGTATAGTTTATAATACCTCAATTAAATTTTAAGCCAGCACAAAATTTTCCAAATTAATCAAATCCCAAAACAGACAATTCTTGAGCCAAATGGAAATAAATAACTATAAGACTGCAGAAAAATTTGGTACTTTTACTATGTCAGAATGAAATTTCAAAAGCAAATCAATGAAATTTCAAATGCAAAACATCATAAACACCCATTCAGATCATAAATTCAGTTAAACCGGATCAAACATTACCCATTATAAATTCTGTGAAACGGTATCTTTCTAGTAGAGAAAACAAAAAAAAAAAAGAAAGGAAAGTGATTTTGCTAAGACAGCCTCTGCAAATTGTGAAACTATCCCCGCAAATTCACTTCACCAAAAGGATCATGATTCAAAGAGTTTCAAGATTTGAAAGAAACTTTCCAGACTGAACAATCATGGCTTGCCTCCACTCTCTCAAGTTCGCATAGTCCTCATGTCCCTCCACTCGATTCGGAGCAGAAAACAGAATACAAACACAACAAATCTAATCAAATCAAATCAAGCAGTACATCACCAATATAGTGATCGCCGACCACCACTCTGATAACGTGGATATGAATAAACCTGCGAATTGTTCGTATCGTTGTGTCCTATCAGTTCGTACACGTCGTGGCTAAGGCAGCACATTTCTGCTCGAGCTCTTCCAAGTTGTCGGAAGAGAGTGTTTGCGAGATCGAAGTCGAATTGGGGTTGGGGTTGAGGAGATGATGGTTTTTCTTTGTTGAAGCCATCGTTGGCGTCTTTGAGTTCCGACGTACTCCATCTTCAGTGGTTTATTGTTCACCGGAGAATTGCCCACTATTTCTGGGGTTAAGAGCTCAGCCAAACAGCTAATAGCAACAATGTAGGTTTTGGGTTTATGAAAATGGTGTCTGTCCTTTAAAGTAATTTCAACTTTTATTGATTTTTTTAATTATTATTGTAAAGAGAATCTTGGCGGCATTTACGTATTTTTGCCTATTCCAATTTATTTAACTGACAAAAAATCCTTCTTTCCTCGTTTCACACAGGGATGGGATTTGAACATCAAGAGTTCATTTGCCTACTTTTAAAATTATAGGGTTTTTTTTGCACTTCACCTTTTACAGAAATACATTGAATAGTTATGGTTTAGTAGGAAGGTTCAGAAATTTTTTTCTTTTTTTCAGATAAAATATTTTCGAGTTCATCGAGTGGGTGTAAAACAGTTTATCAATAATTAATGAATAAATTATTTTTAAAATTTTAATATTTTCTTCGTAAATATTTTATAATAACGAAACACCAAAAAATATTTTATAAAAAATATTTTACAGATTTTCTCTCTTTCTTTTTTTTTTATAAAAAAAATAAATAAAAAAATAAAAATAAATAAAAAGAAGAAGAAGAAGCAGCTAGCAACCAAAACTTTGACAAAAGCACCATAAATTAGGGTTATAGTGGTCAAAGCAATATTTCTGGCTACTACGCAACCAAACAATAAAATGAACGTACTGCTTCAACCTTTTCATTCCTCATTTATTACTTGAAAACGGAGAAGTATATAATCTGGGAATATGGTAATTCGGGTCATCCTAACTCTTAGATTTGGTGGGAGTCACATCACATCCATTATCTAACGGTCCCACCATCCCTAGTATCATACCTCATAGTATTTAATACTTTCTAAAAAAAAAAATCACCCAGAGAACGAAATTTAAAGACGGGAACATAATGACTTTAAACTAGCCTAACTACGCTACAGAAGCCTTAGGCCATCCACACTAGCCTATCCAAGTTGTGAATTTCTAAAAATGTCATTTTAATTTTTCTAAGAGTCACGTTAATAATTTCAAGAGTCACGTCAGTAATTTCTATTCTTCAGAAATATGCATTATAAATTTTTGCTCTCTAAAAAGAATAATTATAAAATTAAAATTTTTATTTTTATTTTTATTTTTTTTAAAATTTTTCCTAAACGGCTATATTTTTCATCTTATATAATGAATACTCATTACTCATCTGAAAATCATCACTACATTCATCTCTCTCCATTTCAGCAAAATATTATTATCCATCTTTTCAATTTTGAAATTACAATAGCTTCGTCATCACAAGTTTTTCCTTTGGCAAACTCTAATTCTTCATCTTCCTCGTCATTCTCTTCGGAAGATGACTATATTGTCACATTGATTCAACAAGATCAAGACGAATTCTATGAGTTTATGAATTCAGTGAGGTCAGAGATAGTTAAACAAGTATTTCAAATCTGTAATAAGAAGCGGTACATTCATCGTGATCGAGAGGAAAACCACTATCAGCTAATGAAAGACTACTTCGACGAGAATTGCACATATCCACCGAAGTACTTTCACAGGCGATTCAGGATGTGACGAGAACTTTTTCTTTGTATCCTTAATGACATCAAGCTTATGATGACTACTTTATCCAAAAAAAGGATGCGCCTGGTCTTCTGGGTTGTCTTCTATATAGAAGATGACAACTGCTGTTCGTACACTCGCATATGGTTGTGCAGCCGATCACTATGATGAGTATATTAAAATCGGTGAGAGCACTGCTATTAAATGCTTGAAGGTATTTTGTAATTATATTGTTACTGTGTATGCAGAGGAGTATATGCGCCCACTCAACGAAGCCGATATAACACGGTTGCTTGAAGAAGGGGAGCAGAGAGGATTTCCGGATATGCTTGGTTCTATCGACTGTATGCACTGGGAGTGGAAGAATTGCCCAGTGGAGTGGCACGGCACACATAGGGGACGCTCTGGCAAGAAAACTCTCATATTGGATCTGACATGCATTCTTTGGAATGCCGGGTTCACACAATGATATAAATGTGTTAAATCATTCCCCAGTATTCAACGGTATCGTCAATGGCCAATTACCTCTAGTTAATTATGTAGTGAATGGACATCACTACAGAATGGGGTATTACATGTCTGATGGTATATACCCTAAGTGGATAATTTTGATGCAGACCATCTCGCACCCATCCACTGGAAAAGAAAAATTGTTTGCTCAGCAACAAGAGGCATGCATGAAAGATGTGGAACGGACTTTTGGGGTATTGCAAATCAAGTGGGTAATAACGCGACGACCAGTGCGTTACTGGGAGAAAGATGACTTGCGCCTCATAATGAAAATGTACATCATCTTTCACAATATGATCATTGAACATGAGCGTCACGCAAATGTTGGAAGATGGACTCCGCCACCGGAGGATGCAATCCCAATTCCCACTTTAAGTCGATGCCCATCTGTTTTAGCGGCACACGTATTATATTGCCAACTTCGTATTCGCAACAGAAAGACAAATACGCGATTGATGAAAAATTTGTGGAACCGCTATGGTGATGAAGATATTTAATTTATGTTGCATTTTGTTTGCTTTTAAGATGTTAATTATGACATTTCGTGTACTAGAATTTTTATTATGTAATGGTTTTTTAAGATAAAAAATAATGAATTGGAATAAGAAAATAAGAATTACAAAATCTTATGGGAATAAGTAAATGAATTTGTAATTTTAATTGTTTTTTTTTTAAGTTTAAAAAAAAATTATACTTTAAAAAAAAAAATTGTAGTTGTTAAGGCGCTGTTTGTGTAAGCCAAACAGTGCCTTAATGGCTAAATGCATTGTTTGTGGTACACATTTAAAATTTAAAGCAAAAAAATAAAAAATAAAAACAAATTTTAAGAGGAAAAAACAAACAAATAAAAATAAATAAAATAATAATAATTTTTTTTTGGCCCAAATAAATTTATTTTTGGACAAACAATGCCTAAATAATATATTTTTTATTTAATGAATTTTATTTTATTTTATTTTATTTTAAAAAAAGCTCAAAATAACCTATTTTTTAGGTTTTTTCAAAAAAAAAAAAAAAAAATTCTGCTAAGGCACTGTTCAGGAACGTTTGAGAAAAAAACAAAAAAGGCAACCGCAAAAAGGTGCCGTTTTGCAACAAAAATATATATATATATATATATATATATATATATATATATATAACGATCGCGGGCCGGCTAGCGGTATTTTGCGAGCAGGCCCGAGAGGCAAAGTGGGCCTTGTAGATTTAAGCTAGCCCGTTGCGCGACCAAAGGGCCATTTGCTCACGGAAATGGGCCTTTAGATAGCCCGCGGTTGCTCTTAGTTAATATGGACCTAGTGTTTTTAAAATTAAAATTGGAGAACATTAGTTCAAATTTTATTTTATTTTATAATTTATTCCCAATTTCATCGTTTCAAATGTAAAGTCGTTACATTACAACATTCCTATTTTACCTCCTGATGTACAATTCCAACTCTTTTATGGACTAGATAAGTTTTTAAAAAAATTATTTATAGATAGGTTATATAAGAAAGAAATTTGAATAAAGTCCAAATTGTTTCACAATTGATTAAAGTGGACATATTTGATCATTTTTCATATATATTTCAATTCCTAAGAGTTGCAAGAAAGAATTAAATATTTCGGAATTATTAAAATTCAATTCAAAAAAATTCACACCGAACTTTCAAAATTTGAGTTGCGAGAAAGTATTAAATATTTCAGAAGTATGATCCCTCATAGTTATCCTAGCCCTTCCATGTGGTGAGACCCATCATCGTATCCATGATCCAAGGACAACTATTACTTGAATACCATACCCCAAAATATTTAATATATTATCGTGAGTTGCCCTTACAATTAGTCTATTTCCTTATATAATAGGTTGATAATAAATTTCAATAAAAATTTCATTCAAGGTGTCATATACACCTAGACAAAAGCGTTGAACAACAATTATAAGAAACAAATGGAAAAGGAAAACTCTTATGAATCTACTTCGCGAGGTTTGTTTTTCAGTCATGGTTTATCACACTTGGGAAGAGCCTAATGAAAGGATCTTCAAAAAGAACTCTTAACTCTACTTAGAAGATCATCCTTCAGAAAATTTGCACCACTGTGTCTTCAATTTTGAAAATTGGGTTTCCTACAAGATTGCACTGTGTCTAGGAGAATTCTAGCCGACTTGAACTTGTCTCCCTCTTGCTGCCATCCCCCTCTGAGACCCCTGACTGACTTTTGCCGGCGACTCTGCTCCAACTGTGGCTTCACCGGATCAGTGCACTAACACCCTCCATTAACGGTCTTTCAAAACCGTTAATGTAAGTTATTAGTTTAGTCTGGGCTTCTCTCTTGTTGGCCTATTCTTGGGCTTGTTTTCTCAGTCCAATGGACTGCTTGGCCTAATGGCCCAACTTGTAAAAATTATCCTTTTTCATATATATTTATTCATGTTATATATATATATATATATATATATATATGTTTGTGTGGGATCCACAATGTTTAAGTCATCCAGGATGATACCCTTGGCTTGAAGAGGAAGATCACAACTAAGGCTTACAGTGAAAGTTTCATAAGGCTTACAATGGAAGCTTCATATTAAGGCTTACAGTGGAAGCTTCATTTTGAATCTTATAGAGTAAGCCTCATTTTGAGCCTATAAATAAGTATATATGTATTGATTTGAAAAACTATTACAGAAAGCATATAAATGAATTCCTCTTGATTTCATTTCTCTTATTTTCTTTATCTCTCTTAATCCTACTATATATATATACATATATTTATTATACGTTATCAGCACAAGCTCTATCCATCTCAGATTTGAAGAAGAATCTTTCTCTCCCTCTTTCTATCTAAACTATATATCTCTTTTGTGATATTAGTTTTGATAGATTGTTGTGTTTATTTGCTGTATCGAAGAAAATTGTATTTCTGACTTCAAATGATAAGAAAATTTTAATTATTGATTATTGTTCATAAAATAAATTTGTTCACTTAAATAATATATGTGCTCACACTGTGGTCGGTTTTACCACCTTTATTATTTAATGATTTACTAATTATGGTCGGTTTTACCACCTTTATTATCTAATTATTTATGACCAGTTTTACCGCCTTTATTATTTAATGATTTATGGCCTATTTTACTGTCTTTATTGTTTAATAATTTATTCACTATGGCTGGTTTTACCGCCTTTGTTGTTTAATTATACTAATACTTCATATTATGTTATATAAAGCAAAGACCATGATTTTTCTTCATTACCATATTAGTGAGGAACTAAAAACTGAATACGTCACTGAAAGAGATCCACTGAGTTTGTGAAAAAATTTAAAAGAAACATATAATCATTAGCTTTCCTTCCAAAAGCTCGAGCTGATTGACAGTAACTGCGGTTGTAAGATTTTAAAAATTGTGGCAGAATACAATTCTACCCTATTTAAAATTAGTTCTACACTGAAATTGTATGGTGATACCATCACTAATGAATTTTTGTTGAAAAAAGCATTTACCACATTTCACGCCTCGAATATATTCTTATATCGAAAGCATAGATTTGAAAAATATTTAGAGCTGATATCATGTTTACTTGTAACAAAGCAAAATAATGAGCTTTTGTTAAGAAACCACCAGTCCCTTCCAACTGGATCGACATCGATCCCTGAAACATATGTTGCCTCATTATGTGGATGTGGACATGATAATAGACATAATTGTGGTGGTAGAAATGGCTACAATATTGAATATGGCTGTGGTAAAAATCACTCTTATTACCGTGAAGAATATTAATCCTCAAATTTTTGAAATAAGAGATCCACACCATATCTCCAAAGAAGATCGAGATTATAATGAAATGAAACAAGTAAAAGGGAAAGATGTGGCTCAACCTTCCATGACATATGATAATACTTGTTATCGAATGACAGGGCATTGACAAAGCATTTGTCATATACTTAAGCATCTGGTTGAACTTTACCAAGCCTCAATGAAAGAAAAGGCGAAATGGAAAGAAATGAATTTCATTGATCATGATGAGCTAGTTGACATCACAAATCTGGATGTATCAGATTTTTTTGAGGACCGTGATGGAAAGATAAACTACCTGATTGGTGATGGAAATGTCCACACCAATTAATCCTTTTTTTTTTTTTTTTTCATATTCTTTCTACTATGTTATCTTCAATATATTTTTATTTTCCTTGTATTAAAGTTTCTTTTGTTATAACTGTTTTTTTTTTAAAATTTACATGAATAGGAATGGATCTAACTGATTCCATAATAAATGGTGAAGATATATGTCTTGCTGATAGTGGAACGACACACACAATCCTTTGAGATCAAAAATATTTTTCTCACCTAATTTTAACAGATGCTTGTGTCAGTACAATATCAGGTCCCACTGACTTGATTGAAGGCTCTAGAGGAGCCAACATTATTTTACCACATGAAACAAGATTACAAATCAATGATGCATTATATTCTACAAGATCTCGAAGAAATCTGTTGAGTTATAAAGACTTGCGTCGTAATGGGTATCATATTGAGACCGCAAATGAAAGAAATGTGGAATATCTCTACATTACTTCCATTACCTCATGCAAGAAGATGATATTAGAAAAACTCCCTGTTTTCTCTTTGTTATAACTGTATGTGGGCCAATTCATCCACTTTGTGGACCATTTCGCTATTTTATGGTCTTAATTGATGCATTAACACGATAGTCACATGTTTGTCTGCTTTCTACTCGTAATGTTGCATTTGTTAGATTTCTTGCTCAAATCATCAAATTACGTGCACATTTTCCTGATTATCTAATTAAGACAATCCGTCTTGATAATGCCGCTGAATTTTCTTCTCAAGCTTTTGATGATTATTGCATGTCAATTGGAATTAACATTGAACAGCTTGTTGCACACACTTATACTCAAAATGGTATGGCTGAATCTTTTATTAAAAGACTTCAGTTAATTAGTCACCCTTTGCTTATGTGAACAAAATTACCTGTTTCTGCCTCGGGACATGCCATATTACATGCTACATCATTAATTCGTATACGACCAACTCCTTATCATAAGTACTCACCATTATAATTTATTTTTGGTCAACAACCAAATATCTCTCATATACGAGTTTTTGGTTGTACTGTATATGTTCCAATTGCACCACCCAAACGCACTAAAATGGGTCCCCAACATAGACTTGGAATTTATGTTGGTTTTGATTCTGCATCTATTATTAGATATCTTGAACTCCTGACAGGTGATGTCTTTAAAGCACGATTTGCTGACTGTCATTTTGATGAGGCTGTTTTCCCACCATTAGGGGGAGAAAAGGCACAGCAGCAACGTGATATTACTTGGAATGCCCTGAAATTGTCTCATTTTGATCATCGCACGATTCAATATGAACGAGAAGTTCAGAGGATCATTCACTTGCAAAATGTGCGAATCAATTACCTGATACATTTACTGATACAAAGAAAGTAATAAAATTACATATACCAGCTGTAAATATTCCAGCACGAATTACTGACCCTGATGGACCTTCTGTCAGTAATGCAGCGAATGCATCTAAAACACGATTGAAGCGTGGCAGACCAGTCAGTGCAAAAGATACTGTTCCTCGTAAGAGGAAATCACAAAGAAAAATTAGCACTCTTAAAGAGGCCACAAAAAGAGCAACAAATATTATTGATCAATATGAGATTATAGCCTTTGATAAGGCAGATACTCTTGATGAGGCCCAGGTACCTAAAAATGATGAAATAATAAATATTGATGAGGCAAAGGTAACAGATGAGGCACATGCCCTTGATAAGGCAAAGGTACCTGAAAATGATGAGATCTCACTAAATTATGAAACGAGATGGAATAGAAATGAAATTGTTGTCTACAACATATTCTCATATGTCATTGCTCTTGATATTAATAATAAAGATCCGGAACCTCAAAGCGTCGAAGAATGTCGACGAAGAAATGATTGGCCAAAATGGAAAGAAATAATACAAGTAGAGCTAAATTCATTAACTAAACGTGAAGTATTTGGACTTGTAGCCCAGACACTTGAGGGTGTTAATCCTATTGGGTACAAATGGGTATTTGTACGAAAACGTACTGAGAAAAATAAAATCGTGAGATATAAAGCCCGACTGGTAGCTCAAGGTTTTTCATAGAGAACTGGTATTGATTATGAGGAAACATATTCCCATGTGATCAATGCACCCACATTTAGATTCATAATACATTTGGCAGTCACAGAAAGATTGCACATGCATCTAATGGGACGTGTTAACAACATATTTATATGGATCACTAGATAGTGATATTTATATGAAAATCACAGAAGGATTTAAAATGTTTGAAACAAAACCACGTAATATGTACTCGATAAAATTACAACGATCCTTTATGGATTGAAGCAATCTGGACGAATGTGGTACAATTGACTTAGCGATTCTTATTCAAAGAAGGATATGTAAACAATCATATTTGTCTATACATTTTTATTAACAAATCAAAATATGGTTTTGTTATTGTTGCAGTAGATGTTGATGATCTGAATCTTGTGGGAACTTTGGACGAGATCGAAAAGACGGCCACTTACTTAAAGAAAGAATTCGAAATGAAAAATCTCGGAAGACAAAATTCTGCCTTGGGTTGCAGGTTGAACATTTTTGCAGCGGTATTCTCATCCATCAATCAACATATACAAAAAAGATCCTGAAACGTTTTTATATGGATAAAGCCTATCCATTGAGCTCTCCAATGGTTATCCAATCACTTGATATCAAAAAATATCCTTTTCGTCATCGAGAGGATGATGAAGAACTCCTTGGTCCTGAAGTGCCCTATCTTAGTGCGATTAACACTTTTTTATATCTTGCAAATTGCACAAGACTTGACATAATTTTTTCAGTCAATTTATTAGTAAGGTACAATTCTGCACCAACCTGCAGACATTGGAATGAAATCAAACACATATTACGATACCTTCGTGGCACAACTGATATGTGATTGTTTTATTCAAAAGCACCAAGTTCTCAATTAGTTGGATATGTAGATGCCGGCTATCTCTCTGACCCACATAAAGCTTATTCACAAACAGGATATGTGTTTACCTGTGGCGGCACTGCTATATCATGGCGATCTATGAAATAGACAATGATTGCCACTTCTTCAAATCATTATGAGATATTCGCAAATCATGAGGCAAGCAGAGAATGTATTTGTTTGAGATCAATGATCTAACATATTCGAACAACATGTGGTCTCTCATCAATAAAAGATAGCCCAACAGTATTATATGAAGATAATGAGGCATGCATTGCACAGATGAAAGAAAGGTATATTAAAAGTGACAGGACCAAGCACATTTCACCAAAATTCTTTTTTGTACATGAACTCCAAAAAAAAGGGTGATATTGATATTCAGAAGATACGTTCATATGAAAATCTAGCAGATCTAATCACTAAAACGCTTCCAACTACAATATTCAAGAAGTTAGTGCACAACATTGAAATGCGTCAACTAAAGGATCTTTAAGGATGAACTAATGCAACAATAAGGGAGAGCAATTGATCGAAGAGGTATTGGCATACTGTACTCTTTTTCTTTCGTCCAAGTTTTGTCCTACTGGGTTTTCCTGGCAAGATTTTAATGAGACAGTTTTAATCTATGCAATACTATTTTCAGATACACAAGAATACTGTACTATTTTTCCTTCGCTAGGGTTTTGTCCCACTGGGTTTTCCTTAACAAGGTTTTAATGAGGCATATTCTTAGTGTAGTATTGTGGATCTCAAGGGGGAATGATATATATATCTATGTTTGTGTATGACCCACAATAATTTAAGTCATCCAGGATGAAACCCTTGGCTTGAAGAGGAAGATTACAACTAAAGCTTACAGTAGAAGCTTCATATTAAGGCTTACAGTGGAAGCTTCATTTTGAATCTTACAGAGAAAACCTCATTATGAGCCTATAAATAGGCATATATGTATTGATTTGAAAAACTATTGAATTTCTTGTTTTCTTCGTCTCTTTTAATGCTAGTGTGTGTGTATATATTATAATTCAATCGCTTGAAAAAAAAAAAAAAAATTTATAAGTCTCATCTCAACTAATTTTTCTAACCTGAGTCATGTTGAATATCAAATCATGGGTCCAATGGGTCCCACAGTCCCCCTATCTTTAAATAAAGTGGGACCCAACTTGGGTCACACTTATTTTTATGATGTTGATTGCTGATCAGAGAGGGTCCGAGGATATGGGTGGAATTGTTGGCTTAAAATGAGCAATTTTTCCTTGTTGACACACACTCTCTCTCTCTCCTCAAAACTCTTTTTTCTCAACTTTTCCACCTCTTCTGTCCTGTCTTCAAGCGGAACAGCATAGAAATAATTAGCAAGAATGGAAGAAGAAGTACTGAGCAGGTCTTTGATTCTTGAAGAAAAATCTGAAATTAATGGTTGCTCCGCCACCACACCGGTGGTTCTCCTCAGCATCTTTGTGGCTGCCTCCGGTTCCTTCACTTTTGGGTGTGCTGTAAGTACCTAGTGGCATTTAATTACGCATATACAGTATTATTGAGTTTAGTTTACTATCTTAATTATATATATATATATATAGGAATACTCAGTTCCTATGGGTTTGAACTTGTTGTGAGTGGGATTTAGTAAAACACAACCAAACAACCCATGCAGGTTGGTAGAAATTAGAATTATCTATTTGTTAGACAAAAATAAATATACTGTAAATAGCATAAATTGACCAATAATAGAGTAAAAAAGTAACAAAAAATAAAAAAATAAAAATTGATAGAGTAAATAATTTTTCCCGATATTATTTAATGTGAAAAAGGATAATTATTAAAAAAAAAATATAATAATAATAATTATATTTAACGGTCACCACATTTGGTATAGAAAAATATTTATATTTATTTATTAGTAAGTAGGACTCATCATGCTCATGTGAGCAACCAACGGCTCTAGTAATATACATAGAGTTTGTATTTTTGAGAAAAAGGAAAACATCTGAGTCATGTACATGGGGCTGCAACTCCAGCATGTTAATCCAAGCGTAACTCGAAATTTTTTTGTGCTCGAGCAGTGTTATTTCAATTCGGTCTGGCCTTGGACTAAAAAAGAACACAATTCAGTCCCGGTTTCATGTGTATGGTAACCAAAACCCTACTTGTGAACGTTATGAATATGCTAATTCGAGGAACCCTACTTGTGAACGTTATTAGATGTAATACATAAATATTTGTATTACTTGAAAACGGTGTTATATTGTCATACAACAAGAAAAACATTTTGAAAATTAGTTCTGTTGATACTTAATAGTTACTAAACACAAACTGTTGTGTGAAATTGTTCTTACTCTTACCTTGAAAAAAACAAAACAAAAAGAAATGTTCTGTTTTTATTTATTTTTCATTTTTGGTAGTAAGTCACACGAGCACACTCCATTTTTTTTCCTTTTTTTTTACACACCATTTGACTCTGTGACTTGAATGCTCAACCTTTTAAATTTGTTCCATTTGCTCCCTTTTTTTTTTTCTTTTTTTTTTTTTCCCTCTTGTTTACTTACACCAAAAAGGAAAAAAGAAATAGAAAACAAAAGAGCCCATCAAATTGAATAACCTAATTAACAATTAATGATTTTATATGTTCATGGAGTTGGCACCGGTTGTTTGATCAGTTAAAATCTAACTAGTCAGTGGTTTATGTTTGCTTTGTAGGTTGGATATTCATCTCCTGCAGAGTCTGGTATCATGAATGACCTAGGCCTCTCTACTGCAGAGGTAACTAATCATTTACTCTTTCTTATGTTGTGACAAATATTGCAAGCCAAAGAACACAATAAAGAAATCAACAGAAAAGTAAACACAACACACAAGATTTACGTGGTTCGGCATGGTGCCTTAGTCCATGGCGAAGATTCGATAAAAGATTTCAATATGCGGAAATGATTACAAGTTTCAGCACCCAAACCTCCTCTCTTTCTAACACTCTCCAACTGCGGCTATCAGTGTTCTCCCACAACAAACCCCAAATTCTAAACACCCTTATATACTAGGCTACAAAATAGTTCTAGAACCGGTCCCACGACCCACAAGATAAAACCTCTTTTCGGGTTGAAACCGGGTGCAGCACGACCAGTCTTATGGTACTTGTGAGAATGGTTTTGTCTGTGAAGTTTGTGACCATACATTGTTTCAGGACAGTGAGCTAGTTTTTTTTTTTTTCAGTAAGTGTGAGCTAGCTATCGCATTGCCGAATTTGGATTAAAAAAAATGTCATTTGTGAGGAAAAAATTTCATTACCCTTCCCTTGCCAAGGTGAGATGAGCCCATGAAATACAATGTGACACACTTGAGCTGAACATTGTAACCTTATAAACAGCAGACCCGTAATTTAACTAAAACTTAATTTAAATTTCAATTGATAGGAATCAAAGGGGCTACAGAATTATTCATTTATTATTATTATTATTTAAGGCTTTGGAACAAAACTATTACACTGGAGTGTGCCATTTCCGTGTTAAGGTGAATTTATTAAAAGTTCAAGCTCTATTTATCAATACTACTTGAATTGCATAATTGTACATAGCCAATTGATATTGAAGACACTCAGTTGAGACAATGGAGTCGAGCAGCTCATTAGATTGTTTCCAGTCAATAGGAATTAAATGCTTTTCTGTTTGATTGATCTTGTTTATTCTTCTTCCTCTTTGTGCAGTACTCGGTCTTCGGTTCAGCACTGACAATGGGAGGAATGTTAGGTGCAGTAATAAGTGGAAAAGTCGCGGATCTCATTGGCCGGAGAGGTGTAAGTTTTTCTTTTTTTCTTTTTCCTCCTACCCTTGAGATGTTTCTCAGCATAGAATAAATTCTTGTTCCAACTACCATACCAATTCTTGAATTTTGGCTGATCTTATATTACAGGCTATGTGGTTCTTGCAAATGTTTTGCATCGTGGGGTGGCTTTCAATAATTTTTGCGAAGGTTTATTACCCTTGTTTCCTTCCCACAACCATAATTTAGTTCATTTATACTTCATTCAACACTCAACAGCCAAGAGCAACTATTCATACTGCAAATGTTATATGTTTTCACGAATCTTAGCAATAAAGGGGCTTTTAAGGTGTCCATAAAGCAACTTCACAAGAATTGGCTTCCCAAGAAATCAAGTGCGTTTTACGAAAAACGTCTAAATGAACTAATTTTTGTTTTGTTCAACTTACATGCTGGAATCACTCTTCAACTTGATTTTCATTTTAAAAGATGACAGAAATAGAAAATACCAGCATTATACATAACTTTTTTATTAAGATGCTTGAGAAAGATGTTAAAATTGTATCATTTTTACTGTTCATAAGACCATCAATCCTCCTCCCCCCCAACACACACACACACACACACAAAAAGGAAGAAGACGAAGAAGAAAATGAGTAACAGATGAGTAAATCTAGACAAAGTCAATAGAAATATGCTTTTCAATTTTTTGGATGGCATGATTGATATTAATTGTTCAGTGTTTGTCAAAAGGGAGCTTGGTGGCTTGACATTGGAAGACTATCATTGGGAGTTGGAATTGGGATTAATTATTATGTGGTAAGTGTTGCAGATTATTGATTTCTTTGTCCATGTATCAGCATAATCTGGCTTACATTCCCCCATGGCCAAACAGGCAGGCATATATATAGCAGAAGTTACACCTAAGAAAATTAGAGGAGGATGTACATCATTTAATCAGGTAAAGCAAAATTAACATAGATGAAAATTATCATAAATTTGGATTAAAGAATCGACTCATCTGTTATTTGATTCTACAGCTATCAAAATCTTTTGGCATGTCACTGATGTTTTTCATTGGAAATGTCATTACTTGGCGCTTCTTGGCTTTAATAGGTACCTTGCTTTACTTTTGTATTGTTTAGTACGGTATGAGGGTAGTTTCATTAATATGAGCTTGCATTTCTGGTTTCAATTTTAGGAATTGTACCATGTCTGGTACAAGTTGTTGGATTGTTCTTCATACCCGAGTCTCCAAGATGGTTGGTGAGTTCGATTCAAAATATAATCTTGTTATTTAGTTGGTGTTACATGGATTGTTTTTAGTCCAAAAGAGTGAAGTAAAACAGAAAAGAAAAATGGAGTGCTCAAATTTTTGTTAAAAAGAAAAAATTTTAAAGCTTTGTAAATGACTCATAATTTAAAAGTGCTCTTAGTGGAATTCTTAGTTTGAACATTAATCGTTATACATGCGCGCGTTTTTCTTCTTCTTTTGAACCAAAGCATGTTAAAACAATGAAACCTAACTTAACAAAACAATTTCAGACATATCATTTTTCTAGTTTACTATTTGAGCTAATTCGGCAAAACACATAAAAAGAAACATATCTTTGAATGCTAAACTGATGAGTGCAATTTGTTTGCAGGCAAAGATTGGTAAAGAAAAAGAGTCAGAAGCGACTTTGCAACGTCTGAGGGGGGAAAAATGTGATATTTCTCAAGAAGCAGCTGGAATAAAGGCAACATTTGAACTTCACATGTTAATTCAAAATTCACTGTCTAGAAGAAGAAAATTTATGCTTTCCGTTTTTTACTTTTCCCTATTTCCAAGAACAACAGAGATAAACAATACAAGTCATTGTTGTTTTACAGGAGTATACAGAAATTCTTCAAGGACTCTCACAATCCAGAATTTTAGACTTGTTTGAGCGAAGATATGCTCACTCACTCATTGTAAGCCTCAACATTAATCCAAATTAATTGTGGCTTGTTAGTTGTTACCATTCCCACAACTTCTCTGACCCTTAATGAATACAACAAATTGCACAAGGTTGGAGTCGGGATAATGTTACTGGTACAATTTGGTGGGAGCAGTCCAACTGCATTTTATGCAAGTGCTATTTTTGAAGCTGCTGGTAAATTAAATATCTTTAGTAATGTCATTAAGTAAGTATATTAATGATCTTTAGTAATGTCTGAACCTATATCTCATGTATGGTAGGTTGCTCAGCTATTGTTGGCACTACAGCAATGGCTACTATTCAGGTTATTCTTTAACTTTTTGAAGTGTAATTTGAATTTGGGATTTTGTTTGGGGCACTTTTTAGATGATGTTAATATTCTTTTGCAGGTTCCATTTGCCATTTTGGGTGTACTCTCAATGGATAAATTTGGACGACGACCACTTCTGATGGTTAGAGCTTGGAAGAGAAAAATTTTCCTTTTCTTTTTAAGTTTTTGGTATTTTAATATAGTTAATAGATGAGCCAGCAGTGAAGTCTTTGTAGGTTTCTGCAGCAGGAGCATGTGTGGGAACCTTTCTCGCGGGACTTGCATTCCTCTTGCAGGTTTACCACCACCAGGAACTCTATATCTTTATATTTCTATGTTCAAAGATAATTATCTCCTAAAACATTGATTTACCCCCACCAGGATTTTCATCAACAGGAGGAGCTCACTGCCATATTGATTCTGAGTGGCTTACTGGTACCATGTCTAATCAAATGATAGTTCTATTCTCTCTTTCCACATATATGAAATCCGAAAAATTCTTTTTGAAGATTTTGGTTTTATGTTTACGTTCCCTTTGCCTAGCAAAAAAAATGTTTTTCACTTTTTCTCACATTCCCACACAACCTCCCATGAAAATAATAATGTTGGGGGTCTAAATGAGTGTACGCAATGCTCTGTGCAAATTTTGTAAAACTCTGAATGACGATAGCTACTCCCATAGCCGTTAATTTTTTTGAACCATGTCGAATTTAAAGAAAAATAGCCCAAAGCTTGTTAGTCAATTATTTTCTTTTCGGTTTGACTTGGCCAAATTATAACACATTGACGATGAAGCAAATTGAGATGTGTGTATGTGCATATGTCTCCTGATTCTGCAACAAGGTGTTTTCTGCTGCTTATTCAATGGGTCTGGGTGGTACACCATGGGCTATCATGTCAGAGGTAGTTTGTCTTCGTTGGCCTGAACTCAATTTTTTATTTATTTTTATTTTTATAGAATTGCTAACCAGAGTTTAATAAGGCAACAAAGTATAGATATAGCTTAAATGTGTGTTTCTATTTCAGATATTTCCTATAAGCATAAAGGGTTCAGCTGGAAGCTTGGTGACTTTCGTCAACTGGTTCGGTTATTGGATTGTTTCCTACACTTTTAACTTCATATTTGAATGGAGCTCAGCAGGTGATGCCTCTCCTTCTCTGTGTGTGTGTGTGTGTTTGTGTGTGTATTTTACATGGTACTAATAAGGCCAAACTGGTTTAGGAGTATTCTTCATGTATGCAACCATTTGCGGTTTACTTGTTCTATTTGTTGCAAGAGTGGTGCCAGAGACAAAGGGAAGAACATTGGAAGAAATACAAGCATCCATGATTGATATAATCCAATGAGATCCAGTTACGAAAACTAAACAAATCTTATAATGTTTCCATTTTTTTGTGATTTCCATGATAAACCTACTTGGGCATCCAAATATTACCACTAAAAATGTCCCATTTAATATCAATAATGTGCTACTTTTAGTGGTGGAATTTTCAGATGATTAAGTAGTTACACTGAACATGCCTAGGAATAACATAGTTTTTGTTAAGCGTATTGTAGCAAATGGCCATCCAGATTTTGCTAGATAAATTAAGTTAAATGCTCAAAATCTCCACATCCCTTACAGATGAATATAATTCTTGTCCATAGAGTTTACTTTTCTTACAAGTATGTATTAAATATGTTATCATTTTGAGAGCTATGCTAAGTGAGTTGAGCAAAACAATCTACTATGACTCTATTTCAGATTCACACCTACTCCACTTGCTATGGCACGCACACTAACCAACCCTACTCTACCCACTTCACTCTACCAAGAACTAATTGTTGAACGTCCATTATAGCTCTGCGGACAATTTGTCTTCTTCGTAGTGCGATTGAATCATCCTTTCAAAAGATATAGAATGTAAAAAGTTTTGTTCTGCTCTGATTAAACTTTGTAATTTGAAGTAGGCTATGAAGATTGTGCTCTTTAAAAGATTAAAAGACATTTTTCTTAAAATCTATCTCAAAAACTCCAACAATGATTTGAAAATCAATCTGTGCTTTACCGAATTGAAGAATGCTAGGGTTGAAGTCTGAAGCAATCTCTCTCTCTCTATTTGTTACATACTTGCGCCACATTGGTGACAAAAGCTGGCCGATAATCGTAAGGCGAAACATGAAAGAAATACAAGCATCCAATTGATCTCATCCAGTGAGATACAATTATGAAAACTAAATAAATGTAATAATGTTTCCATCTTTGTGTCCATGATAAACCTACTTATGCATGTTATCTTTGGCAGAATGGAATTTGATATTTGAGGAAGTTCAGTTCAAAATTTATATTAAATTTTGGAAAAATTTATATTAAATTTTGGGATTTGAGGAAGTTCAGTTTAAAATTTATATTAAATTTTCTCCAATGTCAAATTCAAAGTGCCTATCATAGTATTAGGGTAATTGTGAGCATCCAAATATTATCACAGTTGATTAAGTAGTTAGTTTGGAGTAAAAACAACCATTATTCAATAATAGCAATGACATAATTTTGGTACAATATTGTAGCGAATGATCATGCATATAATTTAAGTTACATACTCTAATGCTCCACACACGGGAGATAAATATAATTCTTCTCCATAGAGTATACTTTTCTACACTTCATTTCAAACCCAAAATATTTGCTTCCATCATTCTTCTACAATAGAAATAAAACTGCATAGCATTTTAATATCTACATGTATACATTAGCTATACAAGGATATTCCTAAGAAGAAAAAAGATAAAAGCTATATATATATATATACATATATATTGAAAGGTATTTTTCACTCATTAACACTATATGTGTATACTCTTCGTTCATCCTTCCATCCAAGTCTGTAAGCTTGATTTTTCCAGAATGTGTATAGTTTACGTTCTTCTATCAGCGCGGCTTCAGCTTTCTCCCTTGCTCGCTCACAAGTTTCGACTCCTGCGTTGCACTTCTCCGCTTCTCTCTGATAGTGTGAGGAGATTTTCTCGACATTATTTATCAAATGTTTCGTGTGTTGCAAGTTATCGTTGGTAACAATTTCCTTAAAGATGTCAAGATCATCATCTTCGTCGCAATCTGCAAGTATAGTAAGCAAAACGATGCTGCAGCATTAAAATGTTACTTACAATCTAAGCCCTTTTCAAATTTAACCATATATATGTGAGCATTGAAATGTCTCCAAGGAGGACGACAAGAGAAACTATTGGCAAGGATCAACTGACCTGAAGATGAAATGTTAAAAAGTCCTGCAACAATAGACATGAAAAAAATAGTAGCAATATCAGAAGAAATGAAGATAAAAAATCAATTAATAGTAAGAAAAATTTTTTTTAAAATGTTTGACTAAACTATTCTCACACACCATTTCTCAATCATTATGCATACATAAATTCAAATAATAAAATGATTGTGAGATGTTATATATATATATATATATAAATATTCAGAAAGTTATATAAGGTTAGTGAAAAGATGAACTGACCTAAAGGCCTGGACTCGGAATAGCAATCACAAGAACATGATGGACATGGAGCTTGAGCAGATGGATTATCAATGGAGTGCAAGAAAAATGATTGTCCCACAATGCAACCAACTAAAATCACACCCACCAAAATCAACACAAGTCTCATACATCTATGATTAAGAAACCAACGGTTTGATGATGGTTGAGCCATCAAATCCCAAGAAGGAAAAAAAATAATAAAAAAAAATACTAATTTGGAAAGTTTAGTGAACCAAGAAATGGAGAATAACCCATATAATGATTATATAATATGAAGCATATAATGAAGAATTTGTTTAGAAATCAATCTCTAAAAGTCCCAGAAAAACCAATTAGCTAGATATACTTCTCATGGTTATGTGATTGGACCAATTTAAAGTTGTCAACTAAGATGATAACACTAAATGTGTTAAAACACTTCTGGCCCTTTATCACATGATTGATAAGGCTTGGAGATATTGCAAGGGACCACGTTAAACATTGATCAAAGCAATCTTAATTTTACACTACGGTACTAAATGCCTTTGTTTCAAATTTGTTAAATGGAACAAAAAGACTTACTCTTTTCACTTAATAATAATAAAACAACGGATTTTTTTTTATCAAATATTCAAAACACAATGTAATCATTCCATTTATTTTTTATTTTTTTATTTTTATTTTTCATTTTTTATCTCCGACAGTATCCCCAAGCAAAGCACATGATACCCGTGAGTTGTTTTATCAGGAAATGGAGGGATTATTGCTGATTATTTTTCTTGCCGTTTCAGCAGCATATATATATATATATATATATATATATATATATATTTGATAACCGGGTGGTTCATGTAAGGCGACTCCTCACACAAATCAAGTAAAACTCAAATTATATCCGCAGTCGTGATTCCAACGAATTGCTCGCACTTAAGTAAAATCGAACTTAAAACGTGAATCTTAACGAGGCTCCAAGGCCCAAGCCTATTCGGCAACGTATTGACATAAAAATAATGCATAGAACATACATAGAGAGATATAGGTAAGTAAATGTGGATCTTTTACATTGACAACGTAGTCCCCACCTGGTTCAAACTATTTTGATACCCATATCAGTACATAATCATAAATCTTGAATCAAAAATAGGATGATCAAAATACAAGATACTAGTTGATCACCATATATATACATTAATTCCAATAATTAACTAAATCAAATCACCACAATTACTGTCATACAAAATAAAATAATTAGTTCCCACTTAGCACTGCTTAAACCTTGGCGCAATCAGTTGGCTTGAAAGAAATCTTCTTATTCACAAGGTCATACCCAACCAAGAAGTTCATCTGTGACAAGTTCCCAAAGATGGCATCATCATTATCACTAGGGATAATGGTCAAGCACACCAAGCCATCGTCCACCTCCATGAACGTGCTCGACGCCGGCAAATTCAAGTCAGCACCGGCAAAGTGAAATGTCACAGTAGGCACATCAAAATCACCAGTTGCATAACACAGGCCGAATAGCCCTTGTGCATCCTGGATACGTTTAGCTCCGATTGCAGCCGCCAAAGCCGACTCTAATCCGTCGTAGAAATCCTGAGGAAGAAGAATTAGGGTTGTCCCTGAGTCAATAATGATGTTACCGTCAATGGCACCGGCTTTGGATTTCGACCCAGACTTGTATTGTTACCAGTAGTGATACCCTTCAGGGTAAGATAGTAGAAGGTTTTAGTTGTTTTCGAGACCATTAATGGAGTCGAAACCACCCGAGATCCTAAAACTGTGTCACTAGAACCAAAATGTATCTTGCTTGTGACACTAGAACTTGCAGTGAATGGCACCAAGCAATAAGAGAACATCCCATTGATGTTCTCAGACTCGCTTAATTGGTTCACAAATGACAATGTATCCCCTCCTAGGCCTATAATTCCAGTGGCTGACTATTGAATCTGCCCTCATTGTCATGTCCACACCCAAAAACTAGCTTCGGAACAGAAATGGCGCCAAAATTGAATTTTTCAACAGCATAATCGCCCATGCTGACGGAACCGTCCCCATATTGCACAATAAACTGGCATACGTCGCCGGTGGAGCTACAACTAGGGTCGCTCGAGGCCTCACAAGTTGGAGAATCGCACGATAAGGTTTGGAAAGTGGAAGATTGTTTGGGGTTGAAGATGGGTGGTTTTTGCTTGTAACAATTGGTACAAGGTTGGCATTGTGTCCATGTGAGGTCACTTCCTGTATAGGCAATGCCGAATATGTTGACTGGCGGGGTTCCAATGGACAAATTCATCAGGTACTCGCCACCGGAAGGTATGATTTGTGATTCGATTGTGGATTGAGAGGAGGTTGCGGTGGTGGGATTGAAATGGGCTGCACGGAGAATTGAGGGATGATAGGCGTTGCGAAGGCGGTCCAAATGGGTGTTTGATAGGTTGTAGAATGGGGAGAGAGGAGAGTCACGGTGTATGAGGTCAACAGTGAAGCCATTGCTGGCCTCAAGAACTGAAAGATGTATGAAGCATGAGACAATGAAAGTACTGTAGAACAGAGTAGACAATTTGAAGAAGCTGGCAGCAGCCATATATGGACTTTAGAGTTAGAGAGAGAGAATGGGATGAAGAAGGAGCTTTAGAATTGAACAATTTATAGCGGCAAAACAGAATAAATTGGGAAAGATTAACGTTTTTGATTTAACATGTACATTATGGGATTATTGTAAGAGAAAGCAAATTCTTTTGGCTATAATTTAGTGCATGATACATGGCCTTAATAATGAGGTTGCCAATAAGAGAAAGCAAATTCTTTGTCAAGTTTATACAAATTAATGATACTCGATACGATCATGAGAGATTTGATCGATCCCTCCTGCTTCCTTGAAATCCGTAACATACGAAGCTATATTTATATGCAGATCAAACGGTTTCATGATCTAACCTATGGTTGTTAAATACCATTCATGAGAACCAAAGTCTTTTATTATTATTGTTATTATTATATTATATTTTTTTTAATACCAAAAAATATACTCACACAATTATATGAATTGAAAGTCTTATTCTGCAGGTGCCATGTTACTCGAGTTATTGGGAAACTCGTATTCGAGCATTGTACTCTTTCCCTCCAACAACAAATCACTAAACCTGTTAAGTTAAATATTTGATTATCAAAAAAAGATATTCACTAGAGCGCTCGCGGAACCCATTTCCACAAGCCCAAGCTTGTTTTTTCTACGATCCAATCCGCTGCATTTGGATCGCGGAATGGTGGCCCCATTTTGGTGGCCCGTGGAATGGGTCGCTTGATTTGCAACCCAGCCCGCAATCGTGGGTCTGCGCATACGTGTTCCAAAACCTTTATTTTTTTAAAAAAAATATTGGCCCAGATAAAAAGCCGAAAACTCTTTTTTTTTGGATTTTTTTTTCTTGCATAATTCTGAAATTAAGAGTCTTTAAACCATTTTTTGATGACACAAATAGTGCCAAAACAGTTTATTGGACCAAAAAAAAAATGTTCAAAATCCAAAGAACTTTGACTTTTTTATTCTACTTTCTCTGTACAACACTAAAATTAGAGTAGTTAAGGACACTGTGTGTGACACTATTGTGTAAAAAAATGTGTTAAATTTGAAATTTTTCCTTAAAAATATAATAATTTTTTTTTCTTTTTTTACCTCTATAAATGCATCAACCCGTACCACCTTTCTTTTAAATTTTACCTTCTTAATTTTTATTAATAAAGATACTATTACAATAAATTTCATAAAATCATAAAAACAAAAAATATAATATAAATTAAACATTTTCTTCACCAAAGTCAGTTTTACATTTTCTATCTAATATGTCCTCAACAGCAGAGTCCACCAGCTCCAATAATTTATGGCACTCTCCAATCACACATACATTGACACATAGAAAGCCTTCTTTATTTATTTTCAATAAACACCACCACAATGCTCAACAAAAATTTAGAACAAACATCAAGAGGGTATTTTTCATTTTTCACTTTGGCCTTCTCAAAAAAGTGAATAATATATATATATATATATATATATATATATATATATATATATATATATATTGCAAATAACTCCTGAATTTGACAAAGGTAAAGCACTCACTTTCTCTCCAGTCCAGAATCCTACACGGTTCATCGCTCTAACACGTGCGTGCCAGCCTTCTGCTTTGCCACCATTTGGAGACTCGAAGGGGCAGAAAAAACTTTAGGCATTGAGAATATGTTTATCTCCAATTTTGCCACCAAATTCAGTCTCAGAGTCTCTCTCGATCTCTCTCAATTCACCACAAAAACACACGCACATTCATGATGCTTGTCTCTAGTTACCACACCTGCAAACTATGGGGATGGTTATGGTGGTGACTCACCGCCACATGGCACCGGGAAAAACCATCTCCCCCACCATTTGTCCTCGAAAACGGCCACCGGCTGCCGCCGCCTCTCTCTTCAACCACTTCTTCCTTATCTTCTTTTGTTTCATATTCAGCTTCATTTTCTTCAGCATCACTATCTTCATCTACAACAACACTTAATCTCAACCGTCCATCCTGGCGGGAAGCACGGAAAATCTCCGGCCGCTCAATCTTCACCACGTTGAGCTCCAATCTCCCGTCCTTCCTCGTCGGCCGGAGCACGAAAGTAGGTCTGCCGTTGCAGTACTCCAATGACGGCAACGGCGGCGGAAAACTCTTGCACACTTTCTCTGTTCTCCCCAATCTTGATTTTCTCGGAAAACTCGGCTTCGAACCCAATTCCTCTTTAAACACATTTTCGATTTCATCATCAACAAAACTCTCGTCCGAGCTCTCAAACCCTAACCTCTCGGTACACGAGCCACCGTCGATGCCACTGACGTCATCAAGAAACCCAACTTTGACGGAATTTCTTTTGGTAGCGGCCGGAGCTGTGGTTGTGGGAGAAGAAGGTGGTGATTTCAATCCGGCGGACTCGATGGGTTGTCGGAGGTCATCGAATAAGGTGATGAAACTGAGACCTCCGGCCGGAGATGGAATGTTCTGGAGGTTAGTGGGGGATTCTAGTACTGCTCCATTGGCCATGAAGTTAGTGAAGTATAAGAGAGAGTGAACACTTTTCTTGCAGAAGCTCATCATGGTTGTGAATATATAGTGGATATATGATGACAAGTAAAAAGATTGACAAAGGACTGCAGAGGGGATTTGGTTTGAGTCAGAGACAGTGGTTGAAAATATATAGGGAAGTGTAGAGAGAGAGAGAGAGAGAGAGAGAGAGGAGATCAGGGTCGGTGGGAAAAAATCTAATAAGATAATATCGACTAATATGTTTTTTTTTTTTTTTTTAAGGAATTAATATCGACTAATACATTGGGTATCAAAAGCATCGTTCAAATATATAAATTTTTACATGTGACAAAATATGAATGGGCTTTGGAGAAACAGTAGCGTGTGTGATTGCTTAATATTCTAATTAATAATTTGTATATGATTGATTTGTGATAGCACAAATCATATATATATTCTAATTAATAATATATATATTATTAATATATATATATATATATATATATGATTAATTTGTGATAGCACAAATCAGCAAGAATGTCATGAATAAAATAATCATTTTATATTTTATTTTATTTTTTTGGTTTGGTTTGTAATATTTTCCGGAGCGTCCAATTATTTTGGGACGGAAGAAATACTAAAATTGGAATGATTATTCTTCAGTTAATGTACATATAATGTAAGATAAATCAATCATTCTCACTTTATTACTCTTGACCTAAGGTTTATTGTTTAATTTCCTTAGACAGAAGAGATCGATTTCTCTCTCATAGCATTATCACCCGTAGACACTTTCACCACCATCATTGTCGCCACCCACCAATGCACTATCATCATCGCTTTCCATCATTACTACCACCGCCACCTTCCACTATCTTGTTGTCACAACCTTTTACCACCACGCCATCATGGTCGCCACAATTACCACTGCCGCCTTCCACCACCACCGTACGTCATTGTTGCCACTTTCCGCCATTTCCGCTATCACTACCACTGCCACTATCTTTGCCACTGCCTTTCACCTCTATCACTACCGCCTTCCATTAGTGTCACGTTGACCTCCACCACCACCCTTTCATCACCATTATATTTAAGAAATGTTAAATACTATTTTTTTTTAAATATAAAAAAATGTTATTTTATTATTTTAATTTATTTGTTAGTGGGAGGAATATTTTCGAACATTCAATATAAAATTCATTATATTATAGGTTTTAAATTGGTCTTGCTATATACTATAATGGTGATGATTAATTCCCCCAAGTCACTAGGAGCTTTGTGACCTAATGATATTTTTTATATCTCTCAAAATGAATGGTGAGCGTTTAAATTTTTAAGAGAGTAAAATGAATGTGTGAATTTTTTATTAATAAAAAAATAAAAATAAAAATTATCCCATGTCATTTCTTATTCGCCGACTACTTCATTCCAAATCTCATTGGCTTTCTATTCCGTGTACTAAACATAGCCTCACGGTGCATGATAGATAGTTTTTTAGACGAATAAATTAGTGGTACTCAAGAAATTTTACATGCCATAAGTGATATCACACATTCACACCACGTGTCAAATATTTTCTGGACCACCAAATTGGTGCATGAATGAATTTGGACTTACCACCAAATCTAATTGATTGTGATACCGTGACAGTCTCGAGAATTTTTTACTAACAAAATTGGTGGTGAGAGAGTGCACATGGACATTAGTTGTGGGTCCCATTTTAAGATGAATTTGTTAGAATGCATCTTTGTCCCCAACCCAAGATCTGCTTTGCCAAGTTCACTGTCCTTTCCCATCCTCATCTTTTCTATTTTTGTGTGTTTGGCTAAGAGAAGGTACCTTGTATGCTTGTAGGACTAATATATATATTATATAATATACCTTATATATATATATACACATGCGTAAATATGGATATATATGGATGTACGTATAAGATTGGCACGGTGATTGTGAGGTCACTTTTCAATAGAAGAAACAATTGTTCAATTTTGTTTCAATGATCTTTGTAACTAACACACCATTGGTGTGAAAAAGTGGGTGACAATATATAATACACATATATATACATGCGTAAATATGGATATATATGGATGTACATGTTGGCACGGTGATTGTGAGGTCATTGTGAGGTCACTTTTCAATAGAAGAAACAATTGTTCAATTTTGTTTCAATGATCTTTGTAACCAACACACCGTTGGTGTGAAAAAGTGGGTGACAATATATAATACACCAAGCACTTTTTTAACCTATTCTTTAGTGAGAAATGATTTTTCAATCGATTTTTATCGAAATCTTCAGCCGAACATTTCTTAAACGTGTGATATTTTTTTAAATTGACGTCTAACAAATGTTCGATCCAGAGTTTTTTTTATTCGAAATTATCACATGATTTTGATTTGAAAATATCACAGGTCTAAGGACTGTTCCACCAAAAAATTTTCCTTTGACAATATCCACGCCTGCTAACCGTTTCCATTTGAAAATATTAAACATCTAAGAACCGTTAGATCGAGAAATATTAAACATCTATAAACCGTTCGATTAAGAATTTCTTCATTCGAGACTATCTCACGTTTTTCGTTTGAAAATATCACACAGCTATGGACTATTTGGCTGAGAATTTTTTTATTGAATTTTTTTATTTGAAAATATTACGCGTTTAAGGTCAGTTTAAAACGATTGGCACGCATAACACTTCTTATGGAATTATATTCTTTCTCCCTTTTATTTAACAAATGATAAGAATTAATGTATTCTAATTAACTTTCTATTTTTGAATATGTCGTGCATCAATCACATTTGTATTGAGTTTATTAATGATACTGTCACCGTCCATTATTAGTTGTCCACCCTTGATTTTATAACTTTTGAAAGAGATATGCAATTAATGCATTGTCTCATTTTCAAATTACTAAATTGTTTTTCAAATATTAAATATATATAACACTAAAGTTTAAATTTTTTTAAAAAGATAAAGGATAATAATGGAAATATAATAAAAAAATGTTTTGACTTTTCAAAGAGGACAACTAATTTGGGACATGTAAAAAGAGAAAAACGGACTACTAATAAGGGACGGAAGGAGTACTATAATAGTTTCCATACGATAAATGATTCTAAAGTTGAAGAATTCGAACAAAACATAGAACTGGCATCTCATCCATTAAATATACACAACTGAAAGTAATGTGAAACCAGTTAGAACATTTCCAATTGTTGTGTATATATTTTTGTATAAATATGATGGGTCAAGGTCACGGTAGATTTACATAAAAAATTTGTACTATCTATTTTTAGCTCTAACTGTTGTTTTATACTTTTTGTGTAAAAAAATATCCCATAATAACAACCAATCACGTGTCCCAAGGCTCTACATAACTTTTACAAACCTACTTAATTCACTTTACCTTTTCATGATTAAACCTCAAGTCCCAATCTTCCTCAATTAGAAAAAAAAAAAAAATTTATTTCCCCCTATATTTTTTTATTCCCATCCCTCCAATAACAAACCTTTTCTGAATTCTAACTTAATAACAAATAATAAAATAAGATTCAAGTATGTAAAATATACAACAACAATTGCGATTGAATTGACTAATTATCGAAAAAGAAAAAAAATAATAATAATTTGCATAACTGTATCAAACAACAATTATATAAAAATGTAATTAAAATATAAATCTAATATTTGGTTAGTACATATTTATCTCATTAGAATATAATGTAAAAGGATAAAATATTTTAAAAAATCCTAGAATCGATGATTGTAGAAGATAAGATCAAACGAAAGTGATGAATCAAAGGACCTCCAGTTACATATTTCTCTATGGCGCTTTAGAAAAGTGGGAAACAAAGAGGCTTAAAGAAATGAGAGAGAAATAGTTTTAAAAATATATATATATATATTATCAGATAGCTAGAGATGCCCTTAAGTTTATCTATCAAATGCTCCTATGCATTTCTTCCACCCTTAGTACGACCTGTCATAAAATTCATTAAGAAATTCAATTACCGATAAAGAATTTTTATCTTAAAATTTATGTGAATAAACGAAGAAAAAAAAAACGGACCTCGAAGGGAAAAGTTTGGCCCCCAACCCAAGATCTGCCTTTGCCTCTTCTACTCTCCTTTCCCATCGTCATCTTTATTTTCTATTGCTGTGTTTTGGGTACAGTCGCAGGACTAATGCATGTATAAATATAGATGTACATGTGAGGTTGGCATGGTTCTGGTGAGGTCACATTTTTAGTGATTAGTACTCACACACATCACTTTTCCACAGAAGAAACATTTCTTCAATTTTATTTGAATGATCTTCATAATTAACACACTATTGGAATGAAAACGTGGGTGACAATATATAACGAGCCAGCCACTTTTGCAACCTATTATGGAATGAGAGACGATTTAATCGAGGGTGCGAATCACCTGCAGTGAGGCTCGCATGCAGTTTCTTGCTTAAATTTTTAAGTGGTCCATAATTGGCCACGTCATTCTTCAGCTAATAGACACTAAAGCCATGTTTGGTCAATTATACTACTATTTATAAATAACATTTCACCACCATTTTTAAGTAAGGTCACAGAAATTTAAAAATAATGTCACATAGTCTAAAAAGTAACATCCCCACCATTTATAAGTATCTTTCACCCTTAAAATGTGGTGATATTATTTTTTAGACTATGTGACATTACTTTTAAACTTCTGTGATGTTACTTATAAATGGTGATGAAATGCAAAAATAATCTAAAAAGTAACATCACTACCATTTTTAAGTAACGTCACAGAAGTCTAAAAGTATTGTCACATAGTTTAAAAAGTAACATCGCCACGTTTTGAGGGTGAAAGATACTTATAAATGGTGTTAATGTTATTTTTTAGACTATGTGACATTATTTTTAGACTTTTGTGACGTTACTTAAAAATGGTGGTAAAATGTTACTTATAAATAGTGGTGTAATTGCCAAACGCAGTGTTAGTGTCCATTAAGTGAAATAAAACGTGGTCAAACGAAAGCCACTTACTACTCATTGTAGGAAACTGCATGAGAAGTACACTGTAGGTGATTCGCGCCCTTTAACCGAGGTTTTTCACTGAAATTTTTGACCGAACATTTCTTAGACACGTGATACTTTCAAAAGAAAACAACCATTCGGTCTAGATACATGTCACACATCTAAGAACGGTTAGGCGGAGGATTTTTTCATTTAAAAATATCACACTTTAAAGATGGTTCCCACTTGAAAATGTCACACTTTTATGGGACTGTTCAAGAAATCCTCAGGAATATATTTTAAAAAAAATCGAATGAATTAAATTTGTGTGTTCCAATTAACTACAAAAAAAAGGCCACCATGAGAAAAAAAAATATTTTTGAGTAGTGATAGA